GCTGTCTTCCCGGGAGACAGGTTTATAAAGGAAACCGGGCAATTGATTCCATTAAAAGGAGTCCTTAGGAGCAAAGCGAAAAAGGCAGGCACTAGTCAAATCCAAAGCTCCACTGGCTGACACCAGCAGAACCCCTCTCTTCGGAAAAGCTCTCCTCCTCTTCCTTCCTTCCTTCCTCCTTCCTTCCTTCCTTCCTTCCTTCCTTCCTTCCTTCCTTCCTTCCTTCCTTCCTTCCCTCTTTCCTTTCTTTCTTTCTTTCTTTCTTTCTTTCTTTCTTTCTTTCTTTCTTTCTGTGTTTCTTCCTTCCTTCCTTCCTTCCTTCCTTCCTTCCTTCCTTCCTTCTTCCTTTCTTTCTTCCTTCTCTTTCCTTCCTCCTTCTTCCTCCTTTCTTTCCTTCCTCCTTCTTCCTCTTCCTTTCTTCTTCTTCCTTCCTCCTTTCTTCTTCCTTCCCTCCTTCTTCCTTCCTTCCTTCTTTCCTTCCTTCCTTCCTCTTCCTTCCTTCTTCCTTTCTTCCCTCCTTCCTCCTTCCTTCTTCCCTCCTTCCTTTCTCCTTCCCTCCTTCCTCCTTCTTCTTCCTTCCCCTTTCTTTCTTCCTTCCTTCTTCCTTCCTTCCTTCTATCCTTTTCCTTTCTTCCTTTCTCCTTTCTTCCTTCCCTTCTTTCTTCCTTCCTTTCTTCTTTCCTTCCTTCCTTCCTTCCTTCCTTCCTTCCTTCCTTCCTTCCTTCCTTCCTTCCTCTCTCTCCTTTTCTGTCTCCCTTTATCTTCCCTCTTCCCTTCCTTTGCACATTAGCACTCTTCGAAGCCTCAGGTGCTAAATATGGAGATTCCTGCTAAATGCAAGTTGCAGCTCGTTTAATCCCCTGCGTCCCGTTTCTCTTTTGTTTTGTTAAACATGAGCCAACAATGTGATGTGGCGGCAAAAAAAGCCAATGGGATTTTGGCCTGCATCAATAGGAGCCTAGTGTCTAGGTCCAGGGAAGTCATGCTACCCCTCTATTCTGCTTTGGTTAGACCACACCTGGAATATTGTGTCCAATTCTGGGCACCACAATTCAAGAGAGATATTGACAAGCTGGAATGTGTCCAGAGGAGGGTGACTAAAATGATCAAGGGTCTGGAGAACAAGCCCTATGAGGAGCGGCTGAAAGAGCTGGGCATGTTTAGCCTGAAGAAGAGAAGGCTGAGAGGAGACATGATAGCCATGTATAAATATGTGAGAGGAAGTCATAGGGAGGAGGGAGCAAGCTTGTTTTCTGCTTCCCTGGAGACTAGGATGCGGAACAATGGCTTCAAACTACAGGAAAGGAAGGCGATCACATCTGAACATGAGGAAGAACTTCCTGACTGTGAGAGCCGTTCAGCAGTGGAACTCTCTGCCCCGGAGTGTGGTGGAGGCTCCTTCTTTGGAAGCTTTTAAACAGAGGCTGGATGGCCATCTGTCAGGGGTGATTTGAATGCAATATTCCTGCTTCTTGGCAGGGGGTTGGACTGTATGGCCCATGAGGTCTCTTCCAACTCTTTGATTCTATGATTCTATGATTCTACTTTGAACTGGATCATCTGAGTCTACAATGCCATATAATCTGAATTTAGTATGGCATTATAGTTGGGGTCCGGAATATATCATTGAATCGCAGAATCATAGCATCGTAGAATTGAAAGAGACCCCAAGGGCTGTGCAGAAAGACACAATTAAAGCACTCCTGACAGATGGTCATCCAACCTCCTGAGAAGTAAACTCCACCAGACTCCCAGGAACAGTATATTCCACTACTAAACAGCTCTTCCTATCAGGAAATTGTTTCCAATGTTCATGTGGAATCTCATTTCCTGAAATTTGAATCCATGACTATCTCAGTTTGTGGAGCAACAGAAAGCAAGTTTGCCCCTTCCTCAATGTAACCTCCTTTCATATATTTCAACGTGGCTCTCATGTCCCCTTTCTTTAAGTCAGTGGTTCCCAACCTGTGGGTCCACAAATGTTTTGGCCTTCAACTCCCAGAAATCCTAACAGCTGGTAAACTGGGATTTTTGGGAGTTGTAGACCAAAACACTTGGGGACCCACAGGTTGAGAACCACTGCCTTCACTAAATATCCCCAACTCCCTCAGCCGCTCCTCAAGGGGATTGGCTTCCTGGCCTTTGATCACGTTAGTGGCCCTTCTCTGGACACCTTCCAGTTTGTCCGTATCTTGTCAGAATAGCGTTAGTAGCCCGCAGAATGTCTCAGTGTGTTAAAAACTCAGAAAAAACAAAACAAAACATGAGTCTGTTGCCTTAAGTAGAAACAAAAATATAGTTCTGTTTACTGTTGATCAAAAACACAAAGCAAAACAGAAGAATTGTTCTGACCAATATACAACAAACAATATCTCTGGTGAGTCTTCTTCCTTACACAACAATATGCAAACATATAGCAAAATAATACAGTCTTTCTACTTAGTTATCAGTAGAAAGTCCTTATCTTGCCATAAACAAGCAGCTTCCTTGGCACTCCAAATGGTTTTAGCTTCAGGACGCTGCATAACCGCTCCCAGCAACAGCCAAAGGTTTCTTCAGTTCAAAACAAGCCATCAGCTAAGCCATAATGCAAAAGCTCAAAGTTTGCAAACTTAGTGCTTTGTTATATGCTGAAACAGATAACACACCCAATTAACTTGTGGCAGTTGTAACAGAAAAGGTTCTGATCCTCCTTGTTACTTAGAAAAAGCCTGTTGTAAACTTTTAGTAGTGACATATCTTTCATCAGTTGCGGTACTGGAGCTCCCAGTGGCGCAATGGGTTAAACCCTTGTGCCAGCAGGACTGCTGACTTGAAGGCTGGATTGCTGACCTGAAGGTTGTTGGTTCGAATCCAGGGAGAGTGTGGATGAGCTCCCTCTGTCAGCTCCAGCTCCATGTGGGGACATGAGAGAAGCCTCCCACATGGATGGTAAAACATCAAAACATCTGGGTGGCAAGGTTGGCTTGATGTGCCTTCTTCCTCTGGATATGTTTCTCCCTTTCACCGTCCATTCCTGCCTCTTCGAATTCCACAGCACTGTTGGTCACAACTGACCTCCAGTTAGACAGTCGAGGGCCAGGGCTTTCCAGTTCTCTCTCGATGTCTATGCCATAATTTTTAAGGTTGGCTTTAAGCCCATCTTTCAATCTCTTTTCCTGTCTACCAACATTTTGTATTCTATTCTTGAGGTGAGAGTAGAGTAGCTGCTTTGGGAGATGGTGATTGGGCATTCGAACAACGTGGCTTTCAATCCAGCAAAGTTGATAGCGAAGGATCATGGCTTCAGTGCTTGTGGTCTTCATTTCTTCCAGAACACTGACATTTGTCCACCTCTCTTCCCAAGAGATTTGCAGGATTTTTTTGGAGGCAGCGCTGATGGAATCATTTCAGGAATTGAGTCTGACGTCTGTAGACAGTCCATGTTTCACAGGTGTATGACAGGGTTGGGAGAATAGCATTATAGACAAGCATTTTGTTATCCCTACAAATGCCCATGTCCTCAAACACAATGAGAATTCCATGCAGGAAACTACCAGGGCAAGCTAACACCTCCCAACAAAGGATTCCCCTGGGCTGGAAGCAGCCAGGCTTTGAATCTGCAAGGCCATTATAATGCTAATCAAGGTGGCCATTGGTTTCCAGGTGGAAAGCGGTCGAGGTCGGGATTGGCTTGACGTGCCTTCCTCTTGGCACGTTTCTCTCTTTCACCCTCCATTCGTGCCTCTTCAAATTCTGCAGCACTGCTGGTCACAGCTGACCTCCAGCTGGAGCGCTCAAGGGCCAGGGCTTCCCAGTTCTCAGTGTCTATGCCAGAGTTTTTAAGGTTGGCTTTGAGCCCATCTTTCAATCTCTTTTCCTGTCCACCAACATTCTGCTTTCTGTTCTTGAGTTCGGAGTAGAGCAACTGCTTTGGGAGACGGTGGTCGGGCATCCGGACAACGTGGCTGGTCCAGCTGAGTTGATGGCGGAGGACCATCGCTTCAGTGCTGGTGGTCTTTGCTTCTTCCAGCATGCTGACATTTGTCCGCCTGTCTTCCCAAGAGATTTGCAGGATTTTCCGGAGGCAGGCTGATGGAATCGTTCCAGGAGTTGCATGTGACGTCTGTAGACAGTCCACGTTTCACAGGCATATAGCAGGGTTGGGAGGACAATAGCTTTATAGACAAGCACCTTGGTATCCCTACGGATGTCCCGGTCCTCAAACACTCTCTGCTTCATTCGGGAAAAATGCTGCAGTCGCAGAGCTCAGGCGGTGTTGTATTTCGGTGTCGATGTTGACTTTGGTGGAGAGGTGGCTGCCAAGGGAGCGGAAATGTTTCTGCTCCATATGTTTAAAGATGGAAGTGTTACTTTGTTGGGCTGCAGTTCCCAGACTCTGGATTCTGGGAAGTGCAGCCCATAAATAAATAATCTCCGAAGATCCTGGACAGAGGCACTTAAGAGCAGATTGAGCTGGTTGCTGGAGAGTACTGAGGCGCTGTCCAGCAGCAGATACAAAGGTATGACTTTTGGGTTTTTCTGTTTCAAGCAGATTCTGAATTCCCTGGGCCTGGATGCAGCTGGCAGGGCAGCGTTTATGGAGGAAGAAACCAGAAAAGGTGAGATTGCATAAGGAATGGGGTGCATGTTTGGGGAGAAAGTGGAGGAATCGGAGAGGTGCTGTGGGGTTTTTGTGACCGATTGGGGATTACAATCCTGTTCTCGCTATACAGGTAGTTCCCAAGATACAAACAGGAAAAGTTCCATAGGGTTGTCCTTAAGTTGAATTTATTTGTACGAGAGTTGAATGAAAAGTAATGCCTCCACTTTCATAACTCCTCAACAGATGGCAGTACTGGTATGCAGCAGGTGCTGGCTTGTTCAGTAGACTCTCCTCTACAGTTCCATTTTGGTGGGAAGCCTTAGCATTGGACGGTTGTGTTGTTAAAGTGTGAAGTATGGAACCCTGCACAGGTAATTGGTCAATGAGACTTAAGCAACGTGCAGTCATTGAATTCTTGAAAGCAGAAGGTGTCACCCCAAAGGAGATTCATCAGAGAATGCAAGATGTTTGTGGTGATTGTGTTGATGTGAGTACTGTGCGTCGTTGGGGTGACACCTTCTGCTGTCAAGAATTATATAACCTATAAAGCCCTAAACGGTTCTGGCCCAGCGTATCTATCCGAACGCATCTCTTCCTACGAACCTCCAGGAATTTGAGATTGTCCGAGGAGGCCCTGCTCTTGATCCCGCCTGCTTCGCAAGCACGTCTGGCGGGGATGAGAGACAGGGCCTTCTCTGTGGCGGCCCCTCGGCTGTGGAACTCCCTGCCTAGGGACATTAGATCAGCCCTCTCCCTCCTGACCTTTTGGAAAAGAGTAAAAACTTGGCTCTTCGAGCAAGCATTTGGAACCTCCGAATAAACAGACAAACTTGAACTGGAAAATGACCCAGGAACGGCCCAAGACGATGGAACAGATAAGAACTTAAATGAGAGGATATAGTTTTTAGCTTTTAATATTGTTATTATGCACTGTCTTATGTCTAATTGCACTATAATGGTTCTTTTGCTTATCAATGTATGTATTTTTATGGCATCGAATTGTGGCGATTATGTAAGCCACTCTTGAGTCGCCTCCGGGCTGATATGAGCGGGATAGAAATAATGCAAATGAATAAATAACTGCTTCGTAAGTTGCATTGACCGACCATCTGCACAGGGCTCCATATTTCACACTTTAACAACAAAACCGTTCAATGCTAAGGCTTCCTGCCAAAATGGAACTGTAGAGGAGAGTCTATGGAACAAGCCAGCACCTGCTGCATACCAGTACTGCCATCTGTTCAGGAGTTACGAAGGTGGAGGCGTTACTTTTCATTCAGCCCTCGTATGTCGGAACAGATACCTTTGTAAGTGTAACTCTTCCTCCTTCCCAGCTGAGCAACAGGCTCTGGGGCTTTCGGAAGCCATCCAAAGCGGAGACGAGGCAGTGGCCAAAGAGTGTGCCTCCTGGTTGGCCGAGCGACGCGTCCCGGTGACAGTGCAGGTGAAGCCGGAGTTCTATGCTAAGCCTGACATCAGGTGAGATGTGACACAACCACGTTCTTGTGGGGATGATCTTGTAGAGCAGGCATGGGGCACCTTGTGCCTTCCTCCAGGTGTTTTGGACTTCAACTCCCACCATTCCTAACAGCCTCAGGCCCCTTCCTTTTCCCCCTCAGCCGCTTAAGCGGCTGAGGGGGAAAAGGAAGGGGCCTGAGGCTGTTAGGAATGGTGGGAGTTGAAATCCAAAACACCTGAAGGGCCAAAGTTTGCCCATACCTGTCCTAGAAGTAAAAGCCCAACTGTTACGCATTTGCAGATATTATGTAGGTGATATTTTAGAGCCATTTGGAAATTGTGCCCAAAATATTTTTCTAATATTATGGTAGAATTCAAGGGTTCGTAGGACCTTTGGGGGGACCATAAGAGTCAGATCCTGAGATTACTTGCATTGAGAAGTTCGCTTTTTCTCTCCTGTTTTAATATGTTGTTTACTCTCTTTCTTCAGGCTGTGGGTCGGGGTGGAAGATGTCCACATGAGCACCATCCCCATCTACCTGAAGGTCCGCCCTTGCATGACTTTGGCTTCCCTCAAAGACATGGTAGGGACTGTTATGGAGTTTTTGAAGCTCTTTGAATCTTCTCTGCTAATGAGTGCTGTTGCTTCACCAAACCACAACTCCCAGGATTCCACAGCATTGAGCCGCGGCAATTAAAAGAGTTGTCAAACTGCATTAATTCTACAGTGTAGATGCACCCTCAAAGTTCAAAAACACCAAGAAGACCCAAGCAGCCATTTGGGTCAAGGAAGTAGAGGCTCCATCTATGCTGCCACATAATGCAGTTTGAAAAAGCAGTACATGTTCAATGTAGACTCATATAATGCAGTTCAGTGCACTACCTGACTCTACACTGACCATACAATGCAGTTCAATGCATGATATGACTCTGCACTGACTATATAATGCAGTTCAATGCATGATATGAGTCTGCACTGACCATATAATGCAGTTCAATGCATGAAACTGCATTATACAGAGATATCATGCATTGAACTGCATTATATAGTCTACACTGACTATATAATGCAGTTCAATGCATGATATCTCTGTACTGACTATATAATGTAGTTCAATGCACTATATGACTTTACACTGACCATATAATGCAGTTAAATGCATGATATGACTCTGCACTGACTATATAATGTCGTTCAATGCACTATATGACTCTAGGCTGACCATACAATGCAGTTCAAAGCATGATATGACTGTACGCTGACTATATAATGCAGTTCAATGCACTATATTACTCTACGCTGACCATACAATGCAGTTCAATGCATGATATCTCTGCACTGACTATATAATGCAGTTCAATGCATGATATGACTCTACACTGACTATATAATGCAGTTCAATGCATGATATCTCTGTACTGACTATATAATGTAGTTCAATGCATGATATGACTCTATATTGACCATATAATGCAGTTCAATGAATGATATGACTCTGCACTGACTATATAGTTCAATGCACTATATGACTCTAGGCTGACCATACAATGCAGTTCAAAGCATGATATGACTGTACGCTGACTTTATAGTGCGTTCAATGCATGATATGACTCTACGCTGACTATATAATGCAGTTCAATGCACTATGTGACTCTACACTGACCATATGATGCAGTTCAATGCATGATGTGACTCTGCACTGACCATAGAAAGCAGTACAATGCACACTGACCATAGAATGCAGTTCAGTGCATTTCATGACTCTACGCTGACCATATCATGCAGTTCAATACATTATATGACTCTGCACCATCCACAGAATGCTGTTCAATGCATTACATGACTCTATACTGACCATATCATGCAGTTCAATGCATTGTATGGGGTCTGAGCTGCACCCAACATTGTGCAGTTGGGAAGAAAGAGTTGCATAAAGCAATCCTTGATACATCCTTTGGCAACTTAAAAAAATAATTACAAACTTGTTTAATCCCCGGCTTTGCAAGCCTAGGATACTGAAAGCATTTTTGCTTTTGATTGTAGCAAGACAGTGAGCGGTGTGTGCCCAATCTGTGGCAAGAGTGTGCAGGAATTACCTGCACACTCTGATAATTCCCAAGTATGCTCACGCTAAATGAAATATATAGTTTGCAAAAGATAAACCCACACATGGGGTCTCTTCCCACTCTATGATTCGAAAACGCCCCGTCCAATCTATAATCCAGTGTTTCTCAACCTGGGGGTCAGGACCCGGGGGGGGGTCGCGAAGGGGTGTCTGAGGGGTCATCAAAGACCATCAGGAAACACAGTATTTTCTGTTGGTCATGGGGGTTTTGGGTGGGAAGTTTGGTCTAATTTTCTCGTTGGTGGAGTTCAGAATTCTCTTTGGTTGTAGGTGAACTATAAATCCCAGCAATCTCCAAATTCCATCAATGTTCACATTTGGGAATATTAAGTATTTGTGCCAAGTTTGATCCAGATCCATCATTGTTTGAGTCCACAGTGCTCTCTGGATGTAGGTGAACTACAACTCCAAAACTCAAGGTCATTGCCCACCAAACCCTTCCAGTATTTTCTGTTGGTCGTGAGACTTCTGAGTTGGTTCAATTCCATCATTGGTGGAGTTCAGAATGCTTTTTGATTGTAGGTGAAATATAAATCCCATGAACTACAACTCCCAAATGACAAAATTAATTCCCCCAACCTCACCAGTATTCAAATGTGGGTGTATCAGGTATTTGTGCCGAATCTGGTGCAGTGACTGAAAATATATCTTGCATATCGGGTATTTACATTATGGTTCATAACAGTAGCAATTTTACAGTTATGAAGTAGCAACAAAAATAATTTTATGGTTGGGGGGGTTCACCACAACATGAGGAACTGTATTAAGGGGTCTCGGCATTAGGAAGGTTGAGAACCACTGCTATAACCCATCTTTCCTCTGCTGCAGATGTTCCTCCACTATGGCTTCCCTCCTGGCATTCAGAAATGGGTGGTTGGACAACGTTTGCCTCGGGACCACGAGACTCTCCACTACCACGGCATCCAGAGAGACGACGATGCCGCGTACCTCTACCTCCTTTCAGCCAAAGCGGCCAAACTCAGCAAAGATGCCTTCGAACAGGAACATCAACGCAGGCAGCTGGAGGGTGAGTTGACGCCACAAATTGGGATCCCTACACCCCAATGTCCATCCAGTACAACCCCCTGTTGCCACAGAGGAATACACAATCAAAGCCCTCCCGACAGGTGGCCATCCAGCCTCTGTTTTAGTACCTTATGCAAAGGAGACTCAAACACATTCCCAGGCAGTATATCCCACTGCCAAATAGTTCCCAATTTTTTTTAAGTGGGATCTCTTCTCCTGCAGTGTGGATCGGTTTAAGTTGCAGGAAAGTCCTAGTCTCTGGGGTAGCAGGAAATACGCTTACCCCTTCCTCAATATGACCTCCTTTGAAATATTTAAATATGGTTATCATGGCCCTTCTTTTCTTCCTCAACCTAGATCTCCAAGGCTAGATCTACACTGCCCTTATATCCCAGGATCTGATTCCAGATTATCTGGCAGAGTAGAGTCATATAATCCAGTTCAAAGCAGATAACCTGGGATCAGATCCTAGAACAGTGTTTCTCAACCTTCCTAATGTCGCGACCCCTTAATACAGTTCCTCATGTTGTGGTGACCCCCAACCATACAATTAATTTCATGGCTACTTCATAACTCTAATTTTGCTACCGTTATCAATCATAATGTAAATATCTGATATGCAGGATGCATTTTCATTCACTGGACCCAATTTACCCGATACGCCCAAATTTGAATACTGGTGAGGTTGGGAGGGATTGATTTTGTCATTTGGGAGTTGTTGTTGCTGGGATTTATAGTTCACCTACAATCAAAGAACTCCACCAACTATGGAATTGAACCAAACTTGGCACACAGAACTCCCAGGACCATCAGAAAATACTGGAAGGGTTTGGTGCAGGTTGACCTTGAGTTTTGGAGTTGTAGTTCACCGACATCCAGAGAGGACTGTGGACTCAAACAATGATGGCTCTGGATCAAACTTGGCACGAATACTCAATATGGCCAAATGTGTACACTGGTGGAGTTTGGGGGAAACAGACCTTGACATTTGGGAGTTGTAATTGCTGAGATTTCTAGTTCACCTACAATCAAAGAGCTTTCCGAACCCCACTAACAACAGAATTGGACCAAACTTCCCACACAGAACCCCCATGACAAACAGAAAATACTGTTTTTTGATGGTCTTTGGCGACCCCTCTGACACCCCCTTGCTACCCCTCCAGGGGTCCCGACCCCCAGGTTGAGAAACACTGTCCTAGAACATAGGGCAGTATAGATCCAACCAAAGATGTTCCTCAAAAGGATTCATGGTTTCCAAACTTTGGCCATCTTGGTGGCCCTTCTCTGGACACCTTCCAACTTCTCCATCTCTTTCTTGAATTGCTTTACCCAGAACTGGATGCAGTCTTATTTCAAATGAGGTCTGACCAAAACAGAATAGAATGGGACTATGACATCCCTTAATCTAGATCAGGCATGGGCCAAGTTGGGCCTTCCAGGTGTTTTGGACTTCAACTCCCACAATTCCTAACAGCCTACCGGCTGTTAGGAATTGTGGGAGTTGAAGTCCAAAACACCTGGAAGGCCCAACTTGGCCCATGCCTGATCTGGATACAATAATACTATTGATGCAACCACAATGACTTTTGGTCTGGATGTTTCTACAACTAACCATACGTTGGAAGTCCACATCAGGTCCCAAGGTCGTGCTTCTTCCACGACTCCTCTTGCCAATTGCATTCTTTTGTTTTGTTTGCATTAGAGCTGGGCATCAAAGATGGCATCCTGCTGCCCAGAGGGACAACAAGAGTGGCAAGAGCGGCAGCCGCGGCTGCAGAAGTGGTCCCAGACCACATGGATCTGAAGGAGGAGAGGGACGAGGCTCCTCCTCCTCCTCTCCTTGCTGTGCCTCCAATGGTAAGAGCTAGCATTGTACATGATGGTGGAGTAGAAGGGGAACATGCCCCTCCCCAAGTTGTGTTGTTCCCCCATCATTCTTCTTCCTCTGTCGTTGTGGATGTAGGTCGGCTGGGAGTGCCCCACCTGCACCTACCTCAACAAGCCCACGCGACCCGGGTGTGAGATGTGCTGCACGGAGCGGCCCAAGGGGTACGTCATGCCAGAGACCTACCAGCCGGACGAGGAGGAACAGCAGCGAATGCAGCGGGAGGAAGAAGCCCTACGGCAGTATGAAAGGGTGAGAGACTGAGATCTTGGTGCATGCTGGACCTACTTACTTAGGTGATCCCTCGTACCCAAGGATGATGGTCCCCCAAGTGTAGTGTCTTGGCGGTGGACACGTAGGTGGCTGTGGAGACCTATTCTTGATCCACAAGTTCTTCCATCTGTTTCCAGGTAGAAGGTGGTCCTGGTCAGGGTTGGCTTGATGCACCTTCCTCTTGGCATGTTTCTCCCTTTCACCCTCCATTCATGCCTCAGCACTGCTGGTTACAGCTGACCTCCAATTTGAGCGCTCAAGGGCCAGGGCTTCCCAGTCCACTCTCGGTGTCTATGCCAGAGTTTTTAAGGTTGGCTTTCAGCCCATCTTTAAATCCCTTTTCCTGTCCACCAACATTTCGTTTTCCGTTCTTGAGTTGGGGGTATAGTAGTTGCTTTGGGAGATGATGATCGGGCATTGGACAACGTGGCCGGTCCAATGGAGTTGATTGCGTAGGAGCATCACTCCAATGCTGGTAGTCTTTGCTTCTTCCAGCACGTGACATTTATTCACTGGTCTTTCCAAGAGATTTGCAGGATTTTTCGGAGGCAACATTGATGGAATCGTTCCAGGAGTTGAGTGTGATGTCTGTAGACAGTCCATGTTTCGCAGGGTTGGGAAGGCAATGCTTTATAAACAAGCACCTTTGCACCCATTGGTGTTCTCACATCCAAGTCCGAACCGGGGCTGTCCCTGCTTAACAGTCTTGGGCAGTCTCCCATTCATTTCAAACCGGGGACATCTCTGCTTAACACCCCGTAGCAGTCTCCCATCTCAGTCCGAACCTGGGCCAGCCTGCTTTGGTATTCCCCCACTGAAGTCTGAACAGGGGCCATCCCTGCTTTTCGGTCTTGGGAGTCTCCTATTCATTCCGAACTAGGGCCATCCCTCCTTAGCATGCAGTGGTGGTTTCCCATCCAAGTCCGTACCTGGGCTGGCCCTGCTTAGCACCCATTGACGTCCTCCCATCCAAGCCTGAACTGGGGACATTCCTGCCCATGCCTCATTTAAGATGTTCTCTCAGGTTTTTAATCTACATTTTCCCACTTCTGCAAGGGTCAGCCTTGGACATAAAGATGTTGGGCAAACAAATCCCTTTGTTCTGCACCTCTCAGCTTGCCCTTTCTGTCTTTCCTGACTCAGGCCAAGGAGCAGCAGAAGCAGAAGAACTACCAAGAGCTCCTGCAGCTGGACGGGCAGAGCTTGGTGCCGTCCGACGAAGGGGTGGAGTGTCCCATCTGCTTCGTGGGCCTGGAGGCTGGCGAAGGGGTGACCTTAAGAGAATGCCTGCACGTCTTCTGCAAGTAAGCTCTGTAGCAGGGCCTTTCTTGGGGGTGCCCCACAGACCACTGGAGAGATGTGTTTTAGCATTAATCAAACATCCATTGTTTGATTAATGGACTATGGACTATGGCAGACTAAAATAAAATAAAGATGGAGTCTTCCTTATCTGGGAATCTGAAATACTCCAATAACTTCCTGACTGTGAGAGCTGTTCAGCAGTGGAACTCTCTGCCCCGGAGTGTGGTGGAGGCTCCTTCTTTGGAAGCTTTTAAACAGGGGCTGGATGGCCATCTGTCAGGGGTGATTTGAATGCAATATTCCTGCTTCTTGGCAGAATGGGGTTGGACTGGATGGCCCATGAGGTCTCTTCCAACTCTTTGATTCTATGATTCTATGAACTGAAACTATGGGAGTTGGAGTACAACCCAACTAACCTTCCAGCATCCGTATACAGTGGCAACTCTTGGCTCCAGGGCTGGGGAAAGGGAGCAAAATTGCTCTGGGATTCATTCTGAACTTTAAAGACTATCTCCAAGATGCTGACTCTTGTTTGAGATATAGTCTTCCCCACCTTGGTTTGGATTAAAATCCGAAATTAATTTGCTTTCTTTTGCTACTTATGCCAGAACCACTGATTTCCAAGCAAATACATTTCTGGGTATGAAGGGGAACAGCTTCTGATTAGTTGGATTGCAGCTCCCAAGGTGGGCTGAGAATGATGGGAGTTGTAGTCAGAGGCGGCCCTAAGTAATTTTCAATGGTAAGCAAACAGTATTTTGGCGCCCCCCCCCCCCAACCAATCATTGATATATATTTTCTGTTTGTCATGGGAGTTTTGTGTGCCATATTTGGTTCAATTCCATCATTGGTGGAGTTCAGAATGCTCTTTGATTGTAGATGAACTATACATCCCAGTAATAGTTCACCTTGCCGCATTTGCTCCCTTGCCTGGCCCGCTTTGGGTCCGGAGGTGTGCCTGAAGATCCCGGCGTATGCACCAAAAGTCACCACTTCTCCTGACTTTCTCCTCAGCCATTGGGACGAGAGAGAGAGAGAGACAGAGGTGGAGATGTCCACCTTTCCTGAAGGTAGATGCAAAACAAAGGAGGGAGCGGAGGTGGGAGATACCTCCAGTCGGAAGGTCTCTCTCTCTCTCTCTCTTGGTCCCAATGGTTGAAGAGAAAGTCAGGAAAAGAGGCGACTTTTGGTGCGCACGCTGGGGTCTTCAGACACGCCTCCGAACCCGAAGCAGGCCAGGCGTGGCGGCTCCGCCCCTTGGACCACCCACGGATTGGGAAGAGGAAAAGAGGCGGGTGGAGCGCCGGGGGATCGGGAAAGGGAGCCGGTCATGGGGAAGGGATCAAACGCAGAGAACGATTGAGCACCGGCTCTGCTCGTGCACCCGGTGGCTGGGTGGAGCAGGAACGAGAGGGGCTAGGCGAGGCTCAAGGGCCTGGCCCCTTTGGGAAGAGGATCACCCGGCAGCGAGGCAAGAAAGCCGAGGCTCCCCCCGGACTGCTAGGGCTGTTGTGAGCTGAGGGGCCGCTCCTCAAGTGGCGGTCGAGGGGCATTTACAGAGGCGCCTCTGCGCCCCTGGCAAAAAAAAGTGTTCTGCGACCGCTTACTTCGCGTAATGGACGAGCCGCCCCTGGTTGTAGTCCGTTCAACGTACTAGGAGGCTGTCAGATAAAGGATGGATTGTGGTAAATCCTGGCCTGTTTTCCCCCTGTTTGTAACCACTGAGAAGACCCTATCTTGCATTGCCACCTAAGCATGTCCTGCATTTCTGCCGCTATCTATATGCAGGGATTGCCTGAGAGGGACCATCCTGAACAGCCAGGAGCCAGAAGTCCGATGCCCTTACATTGATGAGAAATACTCCTGTCCGTCGCAGCTTCTGGAGCGGGAGATCAAGGCGGTAAGTGTCCCAGGAGGAGCTGCATTTATTGCGGACCCTTCCAAAAAGGCTGCAAAAGCACCGTGGATGCAGAGATCCAACACAGATTTCTAAGGCTTCCTATCTCAAGACCAGATGTGGGCACGAACCAAGGACTTGAAGGTTATTTGTGGCAGCTCCATACAATCAATCAATGAATTAATGAATTAGTGAGCTTCAAGCAATCAGATAATAATGATAATAATAATAAGCAACCAAATAATAATAATAATAATAATAATAATAATAATAATAATAATAAGCAGTTGAAGAAGAAAAACATGATGCCCTGGCAGAATAAGTCAAGGAACGCCAAGAACCTGCTTTAATTGAAGTCAATAATCGGAAACTTCTCAAAGCACAGCAGACAAAGAGTCAGTACAAGAAAACTGCACTCCAAACCAGAGCTGGCAGCTGGCACAACAAAGCATTGCATGGGCAGTTCCTTGACAAAATTGAAGGAAAAGTTGATAAGGAGAAGACCTGGTGATGGCTCATGAATAAAACCCTGAAGGAGACAGAAGAATGCCTGATTCTTGCAGCCCAGGAGCAAGCCATCAGAACCAATGCAATTAAGGCCAGGATCGAAAAATGAACTGATGACCCAAAATGCAGACTGTGCAAGGAAGCGGATGAAACCATTGATCATTTCCTCAGTTGTTGCAAGAAAATCGCACAGATGGACTACAAACAAAGGCACGACTCTGTGGCCCAAATGATTCACTGGAACTTATGTCACAAGTACCACCTCCCAGCAGCAAAGAATTGGTGGGATCATAAACCCGCAAAGGTCGTGGAAAACAAACATGGAAAAATACCGTGGGACTTTCGAATCCAGACTGACAAGTTTTGGAACACAATACGCCAGATATCACGATTGTGGAAAAGAAAAAAGTCTGGATTATTGATGTCACCATTCCAGGTGACAGTCACATTGAAGAAAAACAACAGGAAAAACTTAACTGTTATAAATTGAACTGCAAAGCCTCTGGCATAAACCAGGACAGGTGGTCCCAGTGGTCATTGGCGCACTGGGTGCCGTGCTAAAAGATCTCAGCCGGCATTTGGAAACAATAAACATCGACAAAATCATAATCTGTCAATTGCAAAAGGCCACTTTAATTGGATCTGCCTGCATCACACAGTCCTATATGCTTGAGAAGTGTTCGACTTGTGATTTTGTGATATGAAATCCAGCATATAGTTCTCGTTTGCTGTGACATACTGTGCTTTTGTGTCAGTAAAATAATAATAATAATTTACTCACCCCTCCATTTGGCTCGAGGTGCAATCTGCACTATGGAATGAACGCAGTTTGACATGACATTAACTGCCATGGCTGAATGCTATGGAATCCAGAGAACTATTTTTTACTATTTATACTATTGTTATTATATTTATGTCCCACTTTCCTCTCTCTTCAAATGAGACTCAAAGCAGCTTAAAACAACAAAAACAATACAATTTAGATTAAACTGGAATTAAGATTCTTAAAAAAACAAATATCTAAAAACCCCTAAAATCATAGAATCAAAGAGTTGGAAGAGACCTCATGGGCCATCCAGTCCAACCCCATTCTGCCAAGAAGCAGGAATATTGCATTCAAATCACCCCTGACAGATGACCATCCAGCCTCTGTTTAAAAGCTTCCAAAAAAGGAGCCTTCACCACACTCTGGGGCAGAGAGTTCCACTGCTGAATGGCTCTCACAGTCAGGAAGTTCTTCGAGAGCTGTTCAGCAGTGGAATTCTCTGCCCTGGAGTGTGGTGGAGACTCCTTCTTTGGAAGCTTTTAAACAGAGGCTGGATGGTCATCTGTCAGGGGTGATTTGAATGCAATATTCCTGCTTCTTGGCAGAATGGGGTTGGGCTGGATGGACCATGCGGTCTCTTCCAACTCTTTGATTCTATGATTTTAGCCGGTGTTGAATATTGCTAGTGTGTCACCAGACTTCAGTTCTTATGTTTCCATAGCACTGGGCCATGGGGGTTGCAAGGGATGTTAAGCTACATTTGTTCTGCAGTGCAGATTTTAACTCAGAAGTAGTTCTGTAGCCAAAGAATTAGGAATTTACTCTGAGATGCTCCCATTTTTTGATCCCACAGCTCTTGAGCGAAGCGGAGTACCAACGCTTTTTGGACCTGGGCATTTCCGTTGCCGAAAACCGCAGCCGCTCCAGCTACCATTGCAAAACCACGGACTGCCGAGGTTGGTGCTTCTATGAGGACGACGTCAACGAGTTCCCTTGCCCTGTCTGCCTGAAAGTGAACTGCCTGCTCTGCCAGGTGAGGTGCATATTTCACTGCCAAACAGTTCTTACTTCTTAATGTTTCGATGAAATATATTTTTCTGCTATTTGAATCTATGGTTCCACTGTGTCCTAGTCTCCAGAGCAACAGAAAACAAACTTGCTGCCCTCCCCAATGTGACATCCCTTCAATTATCTAAAGATGGCTACCATGTCCCCTCTCAACTTTCGCTCATCTAGGCTGAACAGACCTAGCTTTCTATAAATAAACTAGCCGTCCCCTGCATGCGTTGCTGTGGCCCAGTCTGGTGGTCTGGAAAATAAAGTAATGAGAAAGTGTTGGTTTCTAATATATGTAATGTCTTTGCTTGTGGGTAAACAGTATTTCTTGCTGTTTCTTTGTCAGTGTTGATGTGGAGATTGTCTGGTTTACTACTCTGGAACTTGCAACATATCATTGCCCTTCTTTAGGGGTCCCTTTCAAATCTTTGATACTGCATTTGTCATATACATATATGTGTGTGTGTGTGAATGGCTGGATGGCCCTTTGTCAGGAGGGCTTTGATTATGTTTTCTTACCAGAAAACACAGTACCTTCTGTTGGTCATGAGGGTTCTGTGTGGGAAGTTTGCCCCAATTCTGTCATTGGTGGGCTCAGAATGCTCCTTGATTGTAGGTGAACTATAAATCCCAGTAACTACAACTCCCAAATGTCAAGGTCTATTTCCCCCAAACTCCATCTGTGTTTATATTTGGGCATATTGGGTATTCATGCCAAGTTTGGTCCAGATCCATCATTGTTTGAGTCCACAGTGCTCTCTAGATGTAAGTGAACTACAACTCCAAAACCCAAGGTCAATGCCCACCAAACTCTTCTAGTGTTTTCTGTTGGTCAGGGGAGTCCTGTGTGCCAAGTTTGGTTCAATTCCATTTTTGGTGAAGTTCAGAATGCTCTTTGATGGTAGGTGAACTATAAATCCCAGCAACTACAGCTCCCAAATGACAAAATCATAATTTTTAAGTGATGATCAGTCCTTGTGTAGTGAGACGTTTTGTTGCCAAATTTGGTGTGATTTCGTTAATTGCTTCTTTTGTTTTTAAGGTACTCATTATGCACAGAGCATTGATAGATAGATGATAGATAGATAGATAGATAGATAGATAGATAGATAGATAGATAGAGTTTTATTATTATTATTCTAAGCCACTTCTCAGAGGGATCCTTAGCTTCCAGATCTTTGACCGCTTTGGTCGCGCTTCTCTGGACACCTTTCAGCTTGTGCAATATTTTTCTTGGACTGTGGACCCGGAGCAGATGGAGTCCAGCATCCCTCATATCCAGTGGTAGAACTGAGCCCCAAACAACTAATTCTACTGAGACTATTGCTGCAGGCAATTCAGTTCCAGTAGCTGGTTATACAAGGTATCAAGTTAATTATACAGTACAGATGTGCCCTGAGTCTACCTATTTGGTGATGAGGAATGCATCAGATAGGTTTGAAGGCCTTGAGCTACTTAAGGAGCAGGATTGATCCAGGACACAGCAATAAAGACTTTAAATGGGAACTACTCTAGTGTGACGTGACAGCTATAAAAACAATGTGATTCTAGTCTTCATCAAGAGGAGTGTAGGGTCTAGATCGAAGGAAGTCATAGTCCCTCTCCATTCTGCTTTGGCCAGACTTCACCTGGAATACGACTGTGTCCAGTTCTGGGTATCATAATTCAAGAAGGAGAGGGACAAGTTGGAAAGTGTCCAGAGAAGGATGACCAAAGTGGTCAAAGGTCTGGAAACCATGAATCCCTCTGAGAAGCATCTTAGGGATCTGGATATGTTTAGCTTGGAGAAGGAACAGTTGAGAGCAGAAATGAGAGCCATGTTTAAATAATGATAGGATGTCATATTGAGGACAGTGCAAGTTTGTGTTCTGCTGATCTAAAGATATTAGGAAAATCTTCTCAATATTGCTAAGAAGCTGCATGAATGCTCCATAGGTTGGGCCCACGAAAAAGTGTTTAATAACCAGGACGTGGGAGGTGCAGAGCTGGAATCCCAACAGTGTTTTCTCTGCAGGCAATCCACGAAAACATGAATTGCAAGGAGTACCAAGATGATCTCCAGATCCGGGCGCAAAACGACCAAGCTGCGCAGCAGACCACAGAGATGTTGCTGGTGAGAAAAGGGCTCCGTTTCGGAATCGTTCAAGGTTTTTATACATGGCTTGGATGATGGAAGAGAGGTTGCACTCATAATCTAGGAAGAACATATCAAAAATATTAACAATTCCAACTCGGTCTCCTAAGGTAAATTGGTGTAACCAGGTGAGCGGACCCTCTGGATGGAAGGTGATGCTGTTGAACGCCAGATCTGTCAACGGAAAAACCACCTGGATCCAGGATCTAATCTTGGACGAGCGGGCAGATCTGGCGTGCATCACGGAGACCTGGTTGGATGAAGCTGGAGGAGTAAATCTGACCCAGCTTTGTCCTCCGGGCTTCTCCGTGCAGCACCAACCAAGATCCGGAGGGCGGGGAGGCGGGGTCGCAGTGATCTATAAGGATTCTATCCATCTAACCAGGGGCCCCATCCCGCAGACCACAAATTTTGAATGCGTCCACCTGAGGGTGGGTGACCGGGACAGAATAGGGATTCTGGTAGTGTACCGTCCACCTCGCTGCACTACAGTCTCCCTACCTGAGCTAGCGGGGGTGGTCTCGAGCCTGGCGGTGGAGTCGGGAAGACCTTACAAACTCTCCCAACGGGTGTCACAGCCAGGAACATGGGGGAGATGTGTCAATTGGTGATGGGGGGGGGGGGGGGGGGGGGGGGGGGGGGGGGGATACTGTTTGCTTACCATTGAAAATTACCATGGGTCCTAGTAGAAGAGCACTGACATCAGACTGAGAAGGGTAGATCATATCTTTGAGAACAAAACCTGGTTTCAAAACTGTAACAAATGGGAAAGTTTGGCCAGGGATAAATGTAGGGTTCTGCATTTAAGTATGAAAAGCTAAGTTGCACCAACAGAAGATGGGAAAGAGCTTTCTTGGTAGCATTACGTGCAAAAGTATCAGCACATCTTTATAAACCCCAGGCCACCTCCTCCACTTGCATTTGAAAGAAATTTAGCTAATGTTGTCTTCCTTCCCTTTCAGAAAATGGTGCAAAATGGGGAGGCCATGTACTGCCCCACCTGCAAGATCATCGTCCAAAAGAAAGATGGCTGCGACTGGATTCGATGCACTGTTTGCCACACAGAGATCTGCTGGGTGACCAAAGGCCCACGCTGGGGCCCAGCGGTATGTACTGACCGAGCAGACTGTGGGATGTGGCCCTCATCTTAATGGGGAATTATAGTGCCCCTATGGACAAAGCCTAATGAGTTGCATTAAGAGCACACACTTCCTAAATCATTGTCGATTGTATCGCTTTGGAAGTCTTTGACATGAAATCCTAGAGTTGGAAGAGACCCCAAAGCCCATCTAGTCCAACCCCATTCTGCCAGGAAGGAAGACATAATTCTCAACAGATGGCCAACCAGCCTCTGATTTGAAAGCTTCTCGAAAAGGAGACTCCACTGGACTCCAAAGCAAATATTCTACTGTCAAACAGTTCTTCTTCCCAATGTTTAGGTGGAATATTCGGAAGCTGAAGGAGACCGTGTAGACAGAGGATGCCTATGAGGTCTGCCAGCTAGGGAAGGCCCCATAGGCTTTCTATTTTTCACCGCATAATAGTTGCACCCGCTTTTTTTGAAGGGGAAAAAGTGTGACTATTATGCAATGAAATACGGTAGCCTTGTGGTAACTTCACATTATAGTAAGATCTCGTATCCATAGGGGATACATTTCAATGCAGATTTTGATTATGTGAAACCATAGATACAATCGGATGCCACTGAATTACCTCTTGTAGTGAAATTGCTACTCTGTGTTAAAGTTTTGGTGTATAGCTCTATGTTTACATATGGCAGATAGGGAAGAATAAGTACAGACAGGGTAGCAACAGCAGAGATAGGATTCATTTGCATATGTGAAGCCGATTGGTCATATGTGTTGCAATCCAGAGCAGAGAACGAGGCCTAAGATAACTATCCACCACACTTGGCTGTGAAAAACAATCCTTTTTTATTGAAGAAAAATAGTTACAAAATAAAGGAAAAATGCAAGTCAAAAGCCACAGCAAAATCAGCAAACATGAATTTAAATGGACAAGGCAAAACCACAAGCCTCTCTGAGAAATACTTGAAGCTGTTAGCAATCCACTAACCGTACTTGATATCCTAGAAATCTTTCCATACTATGGCCAGGGAACTGGGAGAACTGCCAAGGTCTTCATCAATTCTGAAACGATGCCTGAACTGAGGGAATCAGCCTGGCGTATTGCAATTAAAACTCAAGAATCGGTTCCGTGAACCGGCCCACTGTTTTGAGGCCAATGTTTTTAATTCTTGAATTCGGGAGGAACGACGCAAACTGAGTGTTTTATTTCTGTCTTCCCAGATTTGGCTCCTTCTGTTGTCATTACAGTTAACAGGTGCAGAAGGGAGGGAAAGTTCAAGGTCTCCCTCTGAAACATTCTCATTAACACTGGTACTTTCATTTTCCAAATCTACAGAAGTTCCTTCCTCACTAATTTCAGGAACATTGGCATTTTCCAAACCTACAGCAGTTTCTTCCTCACTAATTTCAGGAGCATTGGCATCAAAAGGTACATTTCCACTAGCATCAGTAAATATACTTTCATTAGCATCAGGAGGAACAAACAGAGAATCAGGTTCAAGTTCAAACTCAGGCTGAACCCCAACAATATGCAGATTAGTTTAGGCCCAGGATTTGAAAAGGCTGCTAGGCCAAAATGACAGTTGGGAAGAGCAGAGATGAACATTCAAAAGGGGCGGAGCCAAGGTTCTGAAAGAGGCAGTTAGAGTGAGGGAGTTTGAAAATGACAGTTAGGGATCTGTGTGTGAAGAGGAGAGTTGGTTTTTGAGTGCCTGATAGAAATAAGCAGTTATGGAGATGTGTTAAAGACTTCTGATATAGAGAAACAGTTAAATAGAGCTCGAGTTTTAAGGAACATAAAGAAGGCTAGTGTTGCCTTAGTTCAGAATATAATTCAGCCAAGAGTGTGTAACGCAAGTAACATGTTTGTGAATGTGAAACATTGATAGTTTGTTCAGAAAAGTTAACCAAGTAAATGATACTGACTGTAAGCCTCAAGATTGCAACAAAACACAAATGTAACCACAAGCGTTGGAGCCAGAAGTTATAAATAAACTGCGTTACTTTGTTATACACAAGAGTGTTTCATGGCCTGTGATATAAAGTACAAAGATTTAACAGCACACAGAAAGTCCCTGCCAATATAAAAGAAGGAACTGAATCAGTATAAGGCAGCAAAGAGGTTTTTAAAGAGGAAATAGTCTCTCTCCCTCACCTCACCTCCCTTCCTATTCCAGCATAATATTGAGTTGTGTTATTAGACTTAGAGGAATCACTTTTAGGAATGTGTTAGGTCCTCCAACACAACTCTTGAAGTTTAACTTCCTGGATAAGTATGCCACAGAATCACCTGAAAGACCCAACAATTTCTTAGAGAGGTCATGTTAGTGTGTGTTTACAACTGTAGATATGGGTTCTGCAGTAACAGGGGTCTTCTTATAGGTAACCCCTTACTGTTGTCCTTCTTTTTGGCAGGGTTCGGGTGACACCAGCGCTGGCTGCCGCTGCAAGGTGAATGGTGTTCCCTGTCACCCAAATTGCCAGAACTGTCATTAATGAAGATGGAAGGAGAACTCTGAATGAACAAACAAGTTGCCTCCCGCAGTCCATGGATCCCGTGCCCAGAAGGAAAGCTGGATATTCGACAAAGCTAAACTCTGGGTAACCGGGTTCTTCTGAAGCCATGCTGAATTAAACTTCCAGAATTGGTGCGTTGGGTTCTAGGCCATCAACACCCTACCGACTGGTCATCCATGAACAAAAGGTGCCTTACTTTTTTTTCTCAACCCATGAGAACCAGGTGATGGAAACTGAGCCCCTTTCCTTGGGGCAAGTTGTTATTTTAACAAAATTTCACAGACAGTAGCTTCTTTGAGTCTTTGGAAAGGAGGTCCATGTGAGGCATGAACTTGCCTTCTCTTCACCTTCTTCACAAACAGCATTATATTCTGCACCCTTTGAGGCCTTCAGCTGAGAGCTGAGCAAAATGGGTGATTAATGAATTTCCAATCCCCTTCCCGCGAAATCAGCATTGCCCTACAGAGTATTAGAACCAGATTTTGGAGTTCTGGTTTCACTACAAAAAATGCCAACGTGATGTGTATAACAATGTTTGCCCTAATAAAGAAGCATTTATGAACAGTGGCTGCATTTCTCGCCAGAATGATTTGCAAAGTAATGTTAATTGGAAGGGGCCTCATGGGTCATTTATTTATTTATTTATTTATTTACTTTACTTTACTTTACTTTACTTTACTTCTATACCGCTGTTCTCAGCCCGGAGGCGACTCACAGTGGTTCCCAAGACACAGGAAACAGCAAAATTCAATGCACCAATATAAAAACAGTTAACAACCTAATCTAATACACAGTTAGTACACAATTACTATAATAACCATTCACTAGCGTCTCATCACTAAAAAACATAATCCAGATTTGTCATCCATTGTTCCATTCCTATGTCATTACCAATCATTGCACTAATTATTCGAACGCCTGCACAAATAACCAGGTCCTGCCAGTTCCTCGGTGAACCAAGGAGCTGGTTTAGCTCGGCTACTTGAGAGGGGACGTTCCGGAGCGATCGTGTCAATTGCCCTAGTCATCTCCCCATTCCAGAGAGCGACCAGAGCATCGACAGGATCACCTACCGAGGCGGCGGGAAACTCCCCAAGAGCCATCAGGAATCCATCCGGATCCATAAGCCTCCTGGGGCGGACCAGCCTAATGGGTCCTCCACCTCTGCAGAGGTTAGGGGTGCAGTGAGCCTAAATCTGACCAGGAAGTGGTCGTTCCATGGCAACGGAGAGATGGTTAACTCCTCAACATCGCCACCTTCCTCCCATCCCTGGCAGAAAACCAAGTCCAATGTGTGTCCCGCACTGTGGGTGGGGCCAGATACTTGTTGGGACAGCCCCATGGTTGCCATGGCAGACATGAAGTCCTGAGCCGCTCCTGAAAGGGCCGCCTCGGCATGGACATTGAAGTCCCCCAGCACAATGAGCTGCTGAGACTCCAATGCCAGGCTCGAGACCACCCCCGCTAGCTCAGGCAGGGAGACTGTGGTGCAGCGAGGTGGACGGTACACCAACAGAATCCCTATTCTGTCCCGGTCACCCACCCTCAGGTGGACGCATTCAAAATTTGTTGACTGTGGGATGGGGCCCCTGGTCAGAGGGATTGAATCTCTATAGACCACTGCAACCCTGCCTCCCCGCCCTCCGGATCTCGGCTGGTGCTGCACGGAAAAACCTGGCGGGCAGAGCTGGGTCAAATTCACACCTCCAGCCTCGTCCAGCCAGGTCTCAGTGATGCACGCCAGATCTGCCTGTTCATCCAGGATTAAATCCTGGATGAAAGTTGTTTTTCCGTTGACAGATCTGGCGTTCAACAGCACCACCTTCAATCCAGAGGGACCGCCATCCTGGTTACACCAATTTACCATGTTAGGAGATCGGTTTGGAATTACTAAGGTTGATACATGATCCCTAGGCCGAATTATTGGTCTCCTTTTCCCACATCTCCCCTTCCCCACCACCACTTCTATGGGGGGGGGGCCCTCGGCTAGTGGAACACCCTCCCCCCTCCATGCCGCATTCCATATCCATAGCCTCAGCTTTCAATTCATTGTTGGGTATTTAGTTTGTTGAGTCCAACCCCCTGCTCAATGCAGAGTCTCCAACTCAATTCTCTTACTGAGAACAGATGTTCTCCTTCATGGGGGTTCTACACCCCTAACCCCAATGTTCCAAATACAGCAGCAACACAAGTCTTTGGCTTTGCATTCAAGCAGCTGTCACATATTTGTACAATGTTTTGTCTGTAGGTTGTTAAGAGAGTTGCTTTCTTGCTGCCCTACAAGATAAGAAACCTCCAACTGACATGGTGTCAAAACAAACTCTGAAGTGCTGCACTATGAAATAACCTTGTCCTTATCTTACTGTGGAAATTAGCTGACCTTTAGATGCAACCAAACACTTGGAGCATAGTGCAAGAAGCACTCCCTGTTCAATCACAACAGCAGGCTCTATTTGTTACAGCAAACCTTTTCCTTGTTTTCAGTGGGCCTTCTTCCCGTGAGTTTGGAGAAGAGGATTGTAATTTTTGGGACATTTTATGTCCGTTAAACAGAATAGGCATCAAGGCAGTCTGCTCCAAATCTTCCTAGATGCATCTGCTGCCAAACTAAAATGGACAATAAAAAACCTTTGGGAAGTCTTAAGAAAGCAAGGAGAGTGTAGTATGTCTCTATGTAGATCAGTGGTTCCCAAACCGTGGTCTCTATGTAGATCTGTAGTTCCCAAAATATGGTCCGCAGCCTCACCACTACTATACCATTGCAACAAGAGTTACTGGTCTTGCAAAACCCTCTTATAGTGCAGCTAATTAAATATGGTTTTCTGTGGGCGAGCAGATGGCAACTACTGGATGGCATATGTTCTGTATCAGAAACTAGAGCTGATGTGATCTATCCAATGCAGTTTTCTGAATCAACACTCCAAATAACCAAACCGAATTGCCGCATTATCACAGGGTGTCTGCGCCCTACACCACTGGAGAAATTATACTGCAAACGTGGGTGCTAGAAACAATATCATACGAAAGCTGACTGGCACAACCTGGGGATCACAACCAGACACAGTGAATACATCTGCCCTTGCGCTATGCTACTCTGCTGCTGAGTATGCATGCCCAGCATGGAACACATCTCACCAGGCTAAAACAGTGGATGTGGCTCTTAATGAGACATGCCGCATTATCATGGGGTGTCTGCACCCTACACCACTGGAAAAATTACACTGCTTAGCCAGTATTGCACCACCTGATATCCGCCGGGAAGTAGCAGCCAATAGTGAAAGGACCAAGGCAGAGACATCTCCAGCTCATCCCCTGTTTGGGTATCAGCCAGCAAGTCAACGACTTAAATAAAGAAAAAGTTTTCTAAGATCTACAGAGACACTCGCTGGAACATCTCAGCAAGCAAGAGTCCAAAAGTGGCAGGTTCAAACCCAGAACCTCAACCAATGGCTGATACCAAATGAGAGACTCCCCCCTGGGCACATAGAAGACTGGGCGACTTGGAAGGCGCTAAACAGACTGCGCTTTGGCACCATGAGATGCAGAGCCAACCTCAATAAATGGGGCCACAAAGTGGAATCCACGACATGCGAGTGTGGAGAAGAGCAAACCACTGACCACCTGCTGCAATGCAACCTGAGCCCTGCCATATGCACGATGGAGGACCTCCTTGCAGCAACACCAGAGGCACTCCAAATGGCCAGCTACTGGCCAAAGGACATTTAACTCACAAATTTTGTATTTTGTCTGTTTGTTTTGTTCTGTTAGAAATGTAATACATTTGACTGGTTGCCCTGACACGACAAATAAAATAAAACAAACCAAACCGAATCTAAAGTTGACCCAAAATGAATTCATAACCCTTTTGATACTAATGCTGGAAAGTGGTACCTCGTCAGAGTGGTCTCTGGTCAAGTGGTTCCTGGTCAAAAAAGTTTGGAAATAACTGATGTACACATTGTCTGAAACACTAATGTCACAGTGATAATAAGCCTAGCAGGACAAACAATGAAGCACTCAAGATATTCCCCCATCATTTAAGGAAGCTACCTTATCGGTGTGAAGTGACTGGACTGACCTTGAAGGAGCTGGGGGTGGTGACGGCCGACAGGGAGCTCTGGCGTGGGCTGGTCCGTGAGGTCACGAAGAGTCGGAGACGACTGAACGAACGAACAACCTTATTGGTGGCCTCAAAACAAGTCAACAGAGAGGGGGTATTGCCCACAAAAAGAGCAGTACAAACCACATTCTTTAGTAAGTGGATAAAGCATTTATTTTTTTACACAATTACAAGACCTGTACAAATTTGCATTTTACGTACGTAATGTATAAGCTTTTCACACTGCTAAACCAATGGAGAAGTGTTCTGCCCTGGTGGATGGGCAGACAGTATCCGCAAGAATGGAGAAAGAGACCATGTTTTTGCTCTCAGGACCCCTGATCTATTACCATAGTCCAAGTAACAGTTTTATCTGCCAGAACCCCATAATTTTTTCTCCTTTGAGAAGCTTTCGTCTCTATATTTGTTGGGAACTGATAAAGGTCAAGGCTGTACAACTTCTGGCGAAACCAACCCCATCAACCATATATGGTGGCTCAGGAGGACCTCAACTCAATACCCTCGACTTGTTACCTGGACAAACAGGAGTTTGTTATGCTGACATATCCTTGCCTTCACCTTTGTGAGGTTCTTCCGCTTAGCTTTGTTCTCATTGGAAGAATCTTTCCTACCCCTTCACCAAACCAATAGAGCCAAAGTAGAGTGTTCTTTCCTTTCAATGGGTAAGGATCTGATGGAAAGATCAATAGAACCAACCAGAAGGGCTTTTCCTGAATTGCAGAGTCCTCCCCAGAGAGAAAAAACAGCAACTGGGTGGAGGGAGAGGAGACTATGCTTGGCCCTTCTCCAGAATATGCTGCTACTTTTTCCTTTTTAATATAGAATGTATTGTTGAAGGCTTTCATGGCCAGAATCACTGGGTTGCTGTGTGTTTTCTGGACTGTATGTCCATGTTCCACAAGCATTCTCTCCTGATGTTTCGCTTGCATCTATGGCAGGCATCCTCACAACCTTTGAGGATGCCTGCCATAGATGCAGGTGGAACTGTCAGGAGAGAATGCTTCTGGAAAATGGCCAGACAGCCCGGAAAACACACAACAATCCAAAATGCAGACCACTCAAACCCTGAAGCGGAGGAACTTTTGCTGTCGGTTTCAGCTGGCTGCATAGAATGGTTGAAAGACTTCGCCCTCATGAGATGTTGAACATGGGAAGAGCTTCCCCTCCGCACAGCTGCACAAGTTTCATTTCCTTCTACCAGCCCAGCAGCTTACGAAGTTGAGGCGTTTCTGGTTTTTAGCGTAAGGTTAGGTAGTGGAGCAGGTGGAAGAAGTAGTTCTGCTCCCATTTCACTAGAAGCCCATCATAACAGATGTAAAATGCGGTGATTTAACCTTTTTTCTACTATCTTCAGTCCAAGGCAATGCTGTAGGGAGGTTTGGGTCTCAGGAGCAACTATCTTGGTGTACTCTGCCAACAGTCCTCCCCAAAAGCTTCACAGGTGAGCTGCTACAAATGCAAAGAGGCCATGTTCTGCTACAACGGCAAAGTCCACAAAGAGCCTCCTTTATGGTCTTCCTCTTTTGGCCTTCTCATAAAGTGCTTAGTGAACAATTTCCTATTTTATTCCCACTCTGTACCTTCTACCTAAAGAGGAGCTCCAGCCATCATGGCGTACGGCAGCGATTCTCAACCTGTAGATCCCCAGATGTTATGGCCTTCAACTCCCTGAAATCCCAACAGTCGTAAACTGGGATTTCTGGGAGTTGTAGGCCAAAACACCTGGGGACCCACAGGTTGAGAACCACTGGTGTACGGCATCTCTTTGCTCTCCTGTCCTCTGAGAGAACATCTCAGGAACCCATAGATTGAGACATCTCTTGCTCTCCTGTTCTCTGAGAGGACATCTCAGGAATCCATAGATTGAGACATTTCTTGCTCTCCTGGTCTCTGAGAGGACATCTTAGGAACCCATAGATTGAGACATCTCTTGTTCTCCTGTTCTCTGAGAGGACATCTTAGGAACCCATAGACTGAGACATCTCTTGCTCTCCTGTTCTCTGAGAGGACATCTTAGGAACCCATAGATTGAGACATCTCTTGCTCTCCTGTTTTCTAAGAGGACATCTCAGGAACCCATAGATTGAGACATCTCTTGCTCTCCTGTTCTCTGAGAGGATATCTCAAGAACCCATAGATTGAGACATCTCTTGCTCTCCTGTTCTCTGAGAGGACATCTCAGGAAAGATATAGGATCTCATTCTCTGCCTCCAGCTTTCATTTGCTGGGGATAAACACTGCCACTCCATTCCTAATGTTTCATTTGGATGCTATAGAGCAGTGGATCTCAACCTGTGGGTTCCCAGGTGTTTTGGCCTACAACTCCCAAAAATCCAAGTCAGTTTACCAGCTGTTAGGATTTCTGGGAGTTGAAGGCCAAAACATCTGGGGACCCATAGGTTGAGAACCATTACTATAAAGCAAGCATCCTCAAAATGCAGTCTTCCAGCTGTTTGGGCCTCCAACTCGCAGAAGTCAGGAATTCTTGGAGTGGATGCCCCAAACAGTTGAAGCGCCATAGTTTGAGGATGCCTGCTATAGAGCATATGGAGTATCCACAGTAGTTGGGCCAGCAGGCTCTTTCCACAGCAGGGATTTGTTACAAGAGGCTTTGAGGGTGGAGAACAGACTTCCTCTATGAAGTTGAGTCAAGCTGAGATGCTCCATCTGAAAGAAAAGGGTCCAAAATGGAGATCTTCCTTGAGTGCCTCATTTGGAGTAGCAGACCTCACACAGTTGGAAGGTCAGRTAGGATCCTTCTAGGGCAGGTATGGGCAAACTTTGGTCCTCCAGGTGTTTTGTACTTCAACTCCCACCATTCCTAACAGCCTCGGGCCCTTTCCTTTTCCCCCTTAGCCGCTTAAGCGGCTGAGGGGAAAAAGAAAGGGGCTCGAGGCTGTTAGGAATGGTGGGAGTTGAAGTCCAAAACACCCGGAGGTCCAAAGTTTTCCCATGCCTGTTCCAGGGTTTCTGAGACTCCGTAAGCAGCAAGYAGAGAAGGCTTCTCTCTCTGTTCTTTGATCATCTTCCTGCACATGCAAATCGAAGTTTGTTAGTAAATTCAGCAAGACAAAGAGSGTGAAAGAAAGCATGCGCTGGTTAGTTCTCGATCTTGGTTACTGWGCAGCTCCGAGAATGGCAACTTCCCCTGGAGGTGGTCAAAAGGGAACCATGTGGGTGTCTCTTGCCGCRGTCGGAATGCGTTTGATGCAGRAAGGAAGTCATGCAGAGTGCAACCGCTGTGCTGCRGGATATRTGAGGCAAGCAACCCTTGGTTTTTTTGTTGCCAAGATGGCCCTTCAGAAAAGAGCCTTTCTGAAATAATTCCTGGCCCGATTCAGGTTAGCGATGCCCAGGAACAGACTGCGTAACGGAGAAGCGGCAGTATGTGGAGTAGGCCACGTAAGGACACTTGTGAAAGGGTTTCTTAGCCGAGGAAGGAGGTAGTGGAACGTGGGAGCGGTGAGAGGGAGTTAATGCATGGAGTGCCCGGGACAACTTTGGATTCAGTGAGCAGTTCCTGGGAGAATCCTTCATATAGGCAATATAAAACATAAAGGAAGCATTTGAGGATGTCTTAAAGGGGGAATGGTTTGGTCCTGTTGGCAGGTTAGTCACCCCAAGAGGGAAGTCCTTCCCCTGCCCCATTTTGACCCAAAATGATTGCTACTGTTTTTTTGTGGGATGGTGGCAACAGGAAGTACATTCTGTGGTGCAAAAGCTCATGATCCTGGCCCAAGGCTTCCTGCTCAGTCCTGGTTCACAGGAATGGTTGCTTGGAGCGTGACTGGATGCATTCGCTCCCCCTTTAAGACTGAAGATATTAATTGGCTCATCAATTTGAAGAGCCTTGCCAGCCTCCAAAGCTGGATCCTAGGGAGTTCCTTGTGTGTTTACTTGTCAGAATCTGGTTGCAGGCCATGATATGGTTCTTGAGGAGAGCAGGGAAGAGTGCAACTCTGAAAACGTCCCGGTCACATCTTCCATCACTTCATTTCAGTTAATATTGCAAAAAAGGGCCAATACTTTCCCTGAAAATTTCCAGCGTTTCTTCCCTCTCTGATTTCACCAAGTGGAAACCATCATGGAGAGTCTACTGTTCCATCACTCCACAGGTTATAGGCCCAACGAATGGGCTGGAAGCACAGCAAAATTCTCTGACCTCACCTTGGTCCAAGGTGAACACGCCCCTCTTTCCTTCAAAGGAAGAGATTCTGGATCATCAGGCTGGAGGCTGGTTCCCTCAGGCCAGAAAGCAACATCACAGCAGGGCCAAGTCTGGGCTGCTTGAAGTTCTAAGGCAAGTTGTGTGAGTGGATGGGGAGGAGAACGGATGCTTTGAAACCCAGTTTGCCTTCTACAAACGTAGCTGTATCCCGGTCTTCCACATCAAACAGGGCACGATGGAGAGGAAACCACTCTCCTCGACCTTCAGGGAAATATCTGCAACTCAAACTTGGGAGCCCATTCCAGCGCGCTCTTCACCACGGCCAAGGCGGCAGCGCCCAAGGCCACCGTGAGCCCCATCACTGCCAGTTTGACAAAGCGGTTGGTCCTTGGTTTTGTCACCAAGAGCGACTTGGCTCGCTCCTCGGCACGAAGCCGGTCTCGAAAGCGTTGCCGGAGAACCGTGTCAGGCCGCTGCTGGGCCGAGGCCAGCTCAAAGTCCTTGAAGGTGGAAGCCGCCGTTCTGAATGGGAACAAGAAAAAAGAAGCAAAGCATGTCAATTCACAGCATCTAGCGGTGGGTAAGTTGAGTTCATTTATTGTTGTATTGTTGTTGTTTGTTTTTACTGATGTATTTGGGTTCGGCCTCTTGTAAGCCGCACCGAGCCCTCTGGGAGATGGTAGTGGGGTATAAATAAGCTCATCTGGAAATATGCCCATTTTCGGGAGAGACACTCAAAAAGGAAAACAGGGCCTTACGAATGAAACAAACAGAAACGGAAAGTGATTCTATACAAATGCACAAGACTATTTAAAATCATGCTGTACTGTGCCTCCAACCAAAGGGAGAGGCGGGTAGTAAATACAAATTATTATTGTCGAAGGCTTTTCATGGCCGGAATCACTGGGTTGTTGTAGGTTTTTTCAGGCTATATGGCCATGGTCTAGAGGCATTCTCTCCTAAGGAGAGAATGCCTCTAAAACAGGGGTCCACGAACTTTTAAAAGAGAGGGCCAGGTCACAGTCCCTCAAACTGTTGGAGGGCCGGATTATAATTTGAAAAAAACAACATGAATGAATTCCTATGCACACTGCACATATCTTATTTGTAGAACAAAAACCACTTAAAAACAATACAATAATTAAAATGAAGAACAATTTAAACAAATATAAACTTATTAGTATTTCAATGGGAAGTGTGAGCCTACTTTTGGCTGATGAGATAGGATTGTTGTTGTTGTGGTTGTTGTTGTGTGCTTTCAAGTGATTACAGACTTAGGTTGACCCTAAGCGAGGGCCGGGTAAATGACCTTGGAGGGCCGCATTCGGCCCCCGGGCCTTAGTTTGAGGACCCCTGCTCTAGAACATGGCCATATAGCCCGAAAAAACCTACAACAATCCATTATTATTGTTGTTGTTGTTGTTGTTGTTGTTGTTGTTATTCCACAAGGTCAATTTTCCTATGTGAAGAAGCACTGAGGAGGAAGAGACACATCAAAAAGATTAACCCACTTCAGACCAGGGTATAGAAAAGCAGATCATTGAGTTGAAAGCACTCTTGAAGACACCTGACTTGCTCCACTCTCAGGCATACCTAGAAAACTTCCCTGGCTTAAGTGGCATCCGCCAACTCCATTCTGAAGGTGTCTCCTAGCTCCCAGAATTCCAAGCCTCTTGCTTACTGAAGGTCAACCCACAAAGACACCAACCTGGACCCCTTATCTGATCTCAGTATTCTTCAAGAACAAAAAGCAAGGCCAAAGTTTCACCACCGACTCGCCATGTTTGCTTCTGTGGTGTGACACATACCATAGCACTGCTCACCAACAGAAGAAGCCTCCACTCACCTCTCGGCCTGCTGCTGTGCAGCTTCCCGGGCAAGTTCCGATGGTGGAAATTGTACAAAGAGATCCCCAGCTCGGCTGATCAGGGTCTCGTATGGCAGGTCCTGCGGGATCTGTGACAAGAGATGGTGGACGGAAGCCATGTCGCACTCGCAAGCCAGCACCTCCTCCGCTCGATGGAGGACAATCTGCAGAGAGAAGGAGGCAGGCAAGCTGTGATCCAGGTAAGCTGGTGATGAAAGGAGCTAGCATTGCCCTGTCCTCAGAAGATTATTACAAGAAAACCCAAGAACTTTGCTGAAACATGTCACGTGTGGATTCTCCTCTGCATCCTCAGGACCCACTTTACACTTTCTGAGGTGTACTAAGCTACAGGCACACTTGCTTATATTGGGAATGATAAAGTGTCTTGTATGGCACATACAGCCTTGTGCCAACCTTGCCATTAAACATGAGATTGTTTCCTTTGGTGACTTACAATTTCACGTCAGCAACCAAATATGGTCTTCTGCATGTGTGAAATGTTATGAATACATGTAGGTATGAGTATACAAGAGAAGTCAGCCCTCACCTTTATGGAGAGCTCAACAAGTCACAAAATCTCCACAACAAAGAGTAGCTTGCCCCACCTGCTGTAGCTATTATTTTACCACCACCTGGCACCATATTTTTTTTAAGTGTCAATATAAACCTACCACAGCAGCAAAGTAGATTGGCATCAGTGGGTGGCATGCTAGGAAGAAGTCGTACAACCGCACCACATGTCTGAAGTCAGAAAGGACATGCCCAAACCAGGTGATCAGCCAGCTCAGGGCAAAGATTGTCCCCACTTCTGCCCTATGCAAGAAAGAAACAAGACATACAAGGTAAAGCACCTCATCTGGAAAACATCTCCTCAACTCCTTGTTGGGCAAGTGGGCTTATTAACAAAAGACCCTCCTCATAAATGTACAGCAGAGTAACTTTTTAGCAGCAACGTGACCCAGCACCAGTAGCCAAAAGTGGTAAAAAAAACAAAAACACACAGACCAGCGTTATCTCTTCCTGAGGAAGCTTTTCTTTATAGCAAAATAATAGGGTTGCACTATTTATAAGAACAAGGTTTCCATAACACAAATAAAGTTCTTTATACTTCCTTCTTTGCTTCCATGCTGGGCTTCTTTCCCAAGCAGATAAAAAAAATTGGCTCTCACAGAGCCTCTTCTCACACTAAACTTACACAGGAGCTTCAGCCTTTTACACACAGCAGCCTTCACACTGGAGGTTTACACACAAGGCCTTCAACCTGGGGCCTCTCTCACCGAAGCCTTCTCACACCAGGCTTCTCACACACTGAGGCCTACTAACTCTGAGGCCTACTGACCTTGAGGCATTCTCATACTGAGGCAAACTAACACTGGAGCCTTCTCATACTGAGGTCTTCTTATACTGAGGCTTCTCTCATACTGAGGCAAACTAACACTGAGGTGTACTAAGCTGCAGGCACACCTGCTTATATTGAGGGCTTCTCTCACCTAAGCCTTCTCACACCAGGCCTCTCACACACTGAGGCCTACTAACTCTGAGGCCTACTGACCCTGAAGCATTCTCATACTGAGGCAAACTAACACTGGAACCTTCTCATATGGAGATCTTCTTATACCGAGGCTTCTCTCATACTGAGGTGTACTAAGCTGAGGGCACACCTGCTTATATTGAGGGCTTCTCTCACCAAAGCCTTCTCACACCAGACCTCTCACACACTGAGGCCTACTAACTCTGAGGCCTACCTCACACTGAGGCCTACTGACCCTGAGGCTTTCTCATACTGAGGCAAACTAACACTGGAGCCTTCTCATACTGAGGTCTTCTTATACCGAGGCTTCTCTCATACTGAGGCAAACTAACACTGAGGTGTACTAAGCTACAGACACACCTGCTTATATTGAACTGCAGCTTTTGCTGAGTCACTGTATCCATTAACCCTATCAGTGCTTGATTCACATTTTTGTAATTAAAAATAGCTAGTTAATTTTTAATATTTCTGACACTCCCTCCCTCTGCATTGCAAAACTGACCAGAGATAAAGCTCTTCCTTCTTTGATACAATAGTCATAATTGATGAGAGATGCTCACATGTGAGCACTGCTGGCTTTCCGCCTGTATTTAAATTGTTTAGGAGAAGTCAATGAGGAATTAATGGGCTAGATGGCAGCTCTTGCTCAATACGAACCACTTCCTTGAGGACAGTGCCAGAAACAGCAACCTTGCGGCCTAAGAAGAGACTGGCTGGATCAGACCAGAGGACCAGCTGATCTAGTATTCCCAGGGTTGCCAAATAACTGTTTAGGGGGAAGCCCACAAACACAGCATGGGCCCTCCCAATTGTGTTCTCCAGCAGGCAGTACATAGAGGCACACGCCCTTTGACACTGGAGATCGCATACATCCAGAATGATAGCACCTGTTGATAACTTCATCCTCCACTAATCTGCCCAATCCCTTTAATTTGCTGCAGGTTGGCAGTCATCGCTACATAATCCAATCATAATCCTTCTGTCTGTCCTAATTCTAGCACCATTTAAAGGGTTTGGCTGACATTCCACCTTCCTCCCAAAACTAGAACTCAATAGATCACCGAGCTTTACGCGAAACTCTAGATTCCAAATGTTTTGTGGCATGCATAGTTTCACACATCTTTAACATGTCTTTCCTTACAATTTTTTTCCTAAGAAAAAGCCCCAATTATTAGAACCACTTTCCTCATGGTGTGCGCATGCTCTAGCCCCAGGTCATACTGGCTGCCCGGTTTGAACATTGTCCTACTGTACAGACATAATGTGTTAGGATAAAAGAACTGTGCCAACAGAAGTTATGTTTTCTTTTGGATTTTCCCAAGTTGAAATCTGCTGTTTCACAGCAGCTACATTGGACTCTCCACATTCATTGGGATTCGATAAAGGAGGAAAAACGATGGATTTTACTAATGCTATTTTTAACTTGTGAGAAGATCTCTTTAGGAAAGCACATCAGCTCTACCTACCTCTGCATGAAGTCATGCAATTCTGGATTCACCTGGTCTATAATGGGCATCAGGTAGTTCAAGATGTGCTTGGTGTTGTCCATTGTTGGGTCCATAAAATCCCTACCAGGGAACACAGTAGGATTAGTCAAGTTCCCATGGAACACTGATGACATGACATGTTTCCATCTATCACAGAAATTGGGCAATGTTATGCAGACCAGAACTAGAGAGCCACCAAAGCTGCACTCCACCAAAGTGCAATTGTCAGAACAGGTGTGCTGCCCTAACTATGGCACATTCCCAAAAGAAAATTGCAATGTCAATGCTAGTCTCCATAGCCCATAACATTTTCTCCACTCTGGAAGCCCAGGGGAGGCAGGTGGAGCATCTTTGTCATTAAATGAAGCCTAGCATGCAGGCAGAGAATGTGAACCAGAGGGACATGGGGACAGGGAGGTTACAGTTCCACCTCCAAAGTGTCCCTTCTCTTGCAGGGCAGGGGTGAGAGACCATGGATGTTGGGAGAGAGGGGGATCTGGAACTTAACCTCTGCTGGGAGTCTGAAATTCAAAACAAAGGAAAGTAGAAAGGAAACCAGTTCTAGAATCAGACTTAGAAAGCCAATTTCAACCATTCAAAGAAAAAAACACACACCTTCCTGTCTCAGGGATTGTAAGAAGAAGGAGCAGAGAGAAGATGCTTCTCAAGGAAGAGACTTGTGAGTATTTCTCTTGATGCAGCAGCTAAAAATGCAAATCTAAGTTGCACTAATACATAGAAACATAGAATCATAGAATTGGAAGAGACCTCATGGGCCATCCAGTCCAACCCCCTGCCGAGAAGCAGGAATATTGTATTCAAAGCATCCCTGACAGATGGCCATCCAGCCTCTGTTTAAAAGCTTCCAAAGAAGGAGCCTCCACCACACTCCGGGGCAGAGAGTTCCACTGCTGAACGGCTCTCACAGTCAGGAAGTTCTTCCTCATGTTCAGATGGAATCTCCTCTCTTGTAGTTTGAAGCCATTGTTCTGCATCCTAGTCTCCATGGAAGCAGAAAACAAGCTTGCTCCCTCCTCCCTGTGACTTCTTTTCACATATTTATACATGGCTATCATGTCTCCTCTCAGGCTTCTCTTCTTCAGGCTAAAGATGCCCAGCTCTTGAAGCCACTCCTCACATGTAGAGTGTGTAGATCGACTGAAGTCATAGTCGCACTCTCTTCCACTGGTCAGACCCCACCTGGAATAGCCTTGTGTCCAGTTTTGGGCAGAACAATTTAAGGAGGATATAGACAAGATAGAAGGTGTCCAGAGACTGACAAAAGCAGTCAAAGGTTCAGAAGCCAAGCCCAATGAGGAGCGGTTTAGGGAGCTGGGAATGTTGAGCTTGGAGAAGAGAAGATTGAGAGGGGACGTGATAGCCATGTTTAAATATTTGAAAGGATATCACATTGTTTTCTGCTGCTCTAGAGACTAGGGCCTAAAGCGATAGAAAAGAGATTCCACCTAAACATCAGGAAGACTTTTCTGACGGTAAGAGCTGTTGTACACTGGAATATGTGGCCTCAGAGTTTGATGGAGATCTGGGTTGTTGTGAGTTTTCTGGGCTGTATGGCCATGTTCCAGAAGCATTCTCTCCTGATGTTTCTCCTGCATCTATGGCAGGCATCCTCAAAGGTTCTGAGGTCTGTTGGAAACTAGTAAAATGGGGTTTATATATCTGTGGAAAGGGCAGGATGGGAAAAAAGACTCTTGTCTGTTGGAGCTAGGTGTGACAAGGGTTCTTTCTCCCACCCTGGACATTCCACAGATATATAAACCCCATTTTCTAGTTTCCAACAGACCTCACAACCTCTTAGGATGCCTGCCATAGATGCAGGCAAAACATCAGGAGAGAATGCCTCTGGAACATGGCCATATAGCCCAGAAAACTCACAGCAACTCAGTGATCCTGGCCATAGAAGCCTTCAACAATACACTGATGAAGATCTGTTGGGTCGATTTGGATTATGCATTCCTGAATGGCAGAAAGGGGCAAGGCTGAATGACCCTTGTGGTTTCTTCCAACTCTATGTGATTCTGCAATTTTAATCTGGTGCATCACTTTGTGGTTGGATGGTCAGCTGTGGAAGCCAAAACATTAATCCCCAAATAGCAACCCAGCAGCTTCCTCTCAGACTCTTTCAGCTTCATGGACCAAAGTCATGGGTTCTCTCTAATCAAGGAAGGCATACCGGAGGTGATGGGTTGAAAGCTTTTCCACAAGGGCCGTTGCTAGTCTCTCCCCAACCACAAGCAGGAAGGTGACCACGATGTCATGGTAGCCCTGGTAGTAGTGCAGCTGGGGGTTGCGTTGCAAGACCTGCAAGATGCTGTCGATCAGCTCCTCCTGCAGCCCTTCCCTCTGCTCATCCGGCATCCCTGCAGAGAGAACACCCAGAGAGCTGTGGTGAATTGCAGCCAAACAGGATCCGGCCTGCTCTCTCTTCCAACCCACACAGAAATGGCCACATTGCACTTGACCAATGGCCAGGCAGAACAACAGAGGAACCTGGATGCATAATGATTTATGACATATGCCCTCCCATTACTTTTTTGTTGTTGTGAATAACGCTTCATGGCTGAATCAGGGAAGACTAGAAATTCTACATTTCAATCTAGGTACCCTTTTGCCCTGTATAATTAGAGTATTAGCATTCTACTTTATCTGCCCTGGCTCAATACCATGGAATCCTAGGATTTGCAACTTAAGGAGAGATATTCAGCCAAACAGTTCTCAGCCTCACCAGACTACAAATCCTAGGTTTGCATGGTATGCAGCCATGGCAATTATAGTCTTATGGTGCTATAGCTGAATACTGTGACGTGGGTGTTAAATAGTATTACTGTTGGGGTGGTGTGTGGTTTCTGGGCTGTGTTTCCATATTCTAGCAGCATATTCTCCTGACATTTTGCCTGAATTTGGGCTGGCATCTTCAGATGCAGGCGAAATCTCAGGAGAAAATGCTGGTAGAACATGGAAGTAGAGCCCGGAAACCACACAACACCCCAGTGATTCCGGCTGTGAAAGCCTTCAAAAATACTAAGTATTACTGTTGAAATATTATTCTGCTCCAAGAAAACATGGAAGTTTTAGTCTGAGAGGCTGCCAGTTACAAGGGATTCAATCCCTGCGTAAGATCTGAGAATGCATCTATGAAACAGTAGAATCAATGCAGTTTGATCCCACTTTAATTGTCATGGCTCAATGCTATGGAATCCTGGGAGTTGTAATTTGGTGAGGCACCAACACTCTTCGGCAGAGAAGGCCAAAGAACATGTGAAACTACAAATCACATGATTCTATTGCAGAGGTCCTCAAACTAAGGCCCGGGGGCCAGATATGACCCTTCAAGGTCATTTACCCAGCCCTTGCTCAGGGTCAACCTAAGTCCGAAACGACTTGAAAGCACACAACAACGACAACAACAACAACCCTATCTCATCAGCCAAAAGCAGGCCCACACTTTCCATTGAAATACTAATAAGTTTATATTTAACATTGATCTTCAGTTTAATTATTGTATTTGTTTTAAAGTGGGTTTTTTTGCACTACAAATAAGATATGTGCAGTGTTTTAATTATGTGTTGTTTTATTGATAATGTTGTGTATTTTATTGTCTGTTTTTTTTCAATTGCTTGTATTGTTATTATTATTGCTTGTATTGTGTTTGGGCTCGGCCTCATGTAAGCCGCACTGAGTCCCTTGGGGAGATGGTAGTGGGGTACAAATAAAGTGTTGTTGTTGTTGTTGTTGTTGTTGTTGTTGTTGTTGTTGTTGTTGTTATTATTATTATTATTATTATTATTATTATTATTATTATTAGTGTGCATAGGAATTCATTCATTTTTTTTTCAAATTATAATCCAGCCCTCCAACAGTTTGAGGGACTGTGACCTGGCCCTCTGCTTAAAAGGTTTGTGGACCTCTGTTCTATTGCATTGAGTCATGACATTTAAAGTGATGCCAAACTGCATCAGTTTTACAGTGTAGTTAGCTACACCATTAGTCACAACAAACAATAACAGAATCAGATGGGCCCACAGTCCAGTTCAAGATAAGATAGTTTCATGTGTTCATGTACACAGCAAACCTAAAACTCAGTTCGAGACAGAACTACAGTGTTTCCTCGCTACTTCGCGGTTTAAAAAAATATTAATTTAAAATATATATTGTGGTATTTTTGCTGTTTTGCAGGTTTTTGCCACCGCCACTCTCCGATGCGCTTTCCCTCCTCAATCCTCCCTCCAGCCTTGAAAGGCCTTTCCTTCCTTTCCTTCACTTTATTTTAAGGTTATAAAGACTTAAAATGGTGTATAATTACTAAAATAATGTATAAATATTAAAATAAATATAGCGTCCCTACATTACGGTTTTTCCCTTATTGCAGCAGGTCCTGGGACATAACCCCCGCAATAAGTGAGGGAACACTGTATAATACACTGTTATTTGGCCATACAGCCCGATCATAAGCCGGCTCGAGGTATAGGGTGGCAACCTGTGCTTGATGGGGTTGCACTTCCCCTGAAGGCGCAAGTCCGCAGCTTGGGTGTCCTCCTAGATTCATCGCTAACGCTTGAAGCTCAGGCGACGGCGGTGGCTGGAGGCCTTTCACACAATTAAGACTCGTGCACCAACTGTGACTGTACATCGTGAAGTCGGATCACGCTAGGGTGGTCCACGCCTTAGTCACCTCCAGATTGGACTACTGTAATGCACTCCACATGTGCCTGCCCTTGAAGACAGCTCGGAAATTTCAGTTTGGTCCAATGGGCGGCAGCCAGGCTACTTACTGGAGCGACTTACAGGGAGCAGTCAACCCTCCTGTTTAAGGAGCTCTATTGGCTGCCATTCATTTTCCGATCCCAATTCAAGGTGCAGGTTCTGACCTACAAAGCCCTGAACGGTTTGGGACCCGCCTACCTGCATGACCGCATTTCTGTGTATGAACCCACACGATCTCTTGGTTCATCTGGGGAGGCCCTGCTCTCGCTCCCACCTCCCTTGCAGGCACGATTGATGGGGACGAGGGAGAGGGCCTTCTCCATGTTTGCCCCCCGACTCTGGAACTCACTCCCCAAGGATATCAGGCAAGCCCCCACATTGGCAGTCTTTAGGAGGAGCCTGGAAACATGGCTGTTCCAGTGTGCTTTCCCTGAATAAAGGAAACAATCCCCTGCAAAATACCCTGAGAAGCACTTTAATTACCCGTTGGGTTGGGTTGTTCTCTACTTTTGGTTTAAAACCCTCCTACTAGATACATCCTCTGTGCATGTCCAGCATTTATTTTTAAAGTTTTAACTATTACATCTGGCCAGCTATAGTTTTTTAAATTCTTATGTGTTATTGTCCACCTGTGAGTTTTATTAACTGTATTAACTGTAAGCACCGGGATTGTGGCGCAGCTGGCTGAGTGTCAGCTGCATTAAGATCACTCTGACCAAAAGGTCATGAGTTCGAAGCCAGCCCGGGTTGGAGTGGGTTTCCAAACAATTGTGTGTAGCCTATTGTCGACCTTTGCAACCCGAAAGACAGTTGCATCTGTCAAGTAGGAAAATAAGGTACCACTTTAAAGTGTGGGGAGGCTAAATTAACTGATTTATGAGGCCATAAAGAAGACTCCAGCAAAGCATTCCAGCGGGGAAGCATGCGGGGAATGCGGAAATGCTTCATCAGCGTTGCAGATGGACAATGAAAGTAACAGCTCCCCTGGCAGCCAGAAAAAGTTAAATAGCCTCTGTGTATGTCTGTATATGTTTCTATGTCAAAAACTGACATTGAATGTTTGCCATATATGTGTACACTGTAATCTGCCCTGAGTCCCCTGCGGGGTGAGAAGGGCGGAATATAAAAGCTGTAAATAAATATTGTTTATTTTTGTTTATTACTTGTTGTTTTTATTATTGCTTGTTGTTTTTGATGTGTTGTTGGGCTTGGCCCCATGTAAGCTGCTCCGAGTCCCTTGGGGAGATGGTGGCAGGGTATAAATAAAGTATTATTATTATTATTTGTCAATTGTTGGAGGGAGAAGTATAATTATGTTACCAGACTCCAAGTGTGCTGGCTACAATTGTCCTGGGATGGCAGACAGCAAACATGGGACACTTTCTAGCAAAGTGCAAGATTCTTTTTTGCCCAAAGAAGAACAGTAGCAATGCCAGCTACAAGGAAGTCACACTCATCTCCATATAGAAATCCTATCTGTATACAAAACTTGCAACAAAGTGACTCAGCAAACCAAGGGCAGGATAAGATGTGCTTCCTCTTTCCCTTGGGGCTTAGTAAGAGAACAGTCTGATGTAAACAACAACCAGAGGAAACCTACACAGCGTGGCACCAGCAAGCTCACAAACAATGCAGATAAAGCTGGTCTGGGCCTCTCCATAGAGCCACTTGTTTAGAACCACTGAGATATTAGTATCACCCAGGCATGGGCAAACTTCAGCCCTCCAGGTGTTTGGACTTCAACTCCCACAATTCCTAACAGCCGGTAGGCTGTTAGGAATTGTGGGAGTTGAAGTCCAAAACACCTGGAGGGCCGAAGTTTTCTATGCCTGGTATAACCACACTAGTACAAGAAACATATACTCGAGTATAAGCCGACTCAAATATAAGCTAAGCTAAGGCACCTAATTTTACTCAAAATACCTGGGAAAACGTATTGATTCGAGTATAAACCGAGGTTGGGAAATGCAGCGGCTACTGGTAAATTTCAAAAATCAAAATATAAACCAATAAAATTACATTAATTAAGGCATTAGTAGGTTAAATGTTTTTGAATGTTTACATAAAATTGTAATTTAAGATTAGACTGTCCAACTCTGATTAAATCATTATTCTAACCTTCTTCAATGTAAATGTGCTTACGTATCCTTCCAATAATAAATAGAGTAAAATAATAAATGTAATAAAAATAATAAGAGTAAAACAATGGAAATGTAATAATAACAGTGATAATAGAAAATAGTAAATGTAATAATAATAGAGTAAAATAATAAATGTAGTAAAATAATGTAAATGTAATAATAATGATAATAATAAATAGAGTAAAATAATAACTATAACAATAATAATAAATAGAGTAAAATAATAAATGTAACAATAATAGAGTAAAACAATAAATGTAATAATAATAAATAGAGTAAAATAATAAATGTAATAAAATAATAATAGAATAAAATAATGTAAATGTAAGAATAATAATACAGAGTAAAATAATAAATATAATAATAGTTACAGAGTAAAATAATAAATAACTTTGACTCGTGTATAAGCCAAGGAGAGCTTTTTCAGCCTAAAAAAAGGGCTGAAAAACTCAGATTATACTCAAGTATATACGGTAAGCAATAAATATAAGCTATCATGGCTTTTTACCAGTTAATTCTGTTATGAGTCAGAATCTCCAACAGAAAGAGTGCAGCCTCTCTTCAGGATTACAGTTTTCAAGAGTTCTTTGGGAGAAGTAGAAAGTAAACTAACAACTCCAATTTAACCCAGCCTGTCTTCCTGATACTGTCTTCCTGTACTTTCTGCTCATTCTATAAACTAGGGCCAGGACTTCACAAATACAAACAGATAGAAGAGAAAGCCATAACTGGGTGGCATACTTGGAGAAATATTAAAAACATCTACACGTACCTGGAGGGAAGCGACGGAGAGATCGCCTCACATCCAACAACACTTGCTGGTAGTCTTTGTTGTCCTCCCGGAGATCCTCTCCTAGCAAGGAAACAAAGAGTGTCACAATTTTAGTGTAGTCTCTAAGAGGGTTCTGCCTCTTTAAAAACTCAGAGAAGGATATCATGTAGTACAAGTATGTGTAGGGAGCAAAAGGAATCATTCTTTATTCCATATCATTAAGCGATACCAGATTATTCTTAGATTATGAATGTTAAAGTCTTTGTTTATTGGTTTAATATATATTGGTTTGATATGCTATTTTAACAATGTAATGTGTTTTATCTGTTATTGTGACTCATCATGACCCACAAGGTAAAGTGGGTAAGAAAAAAGTGCTATTTTTCTCTCTCAAGTCCAATTGAACAGAATGCATTTGTTGAGATAATCTGTTAAGTTTACTATTTGTTATAGAAACAGGTTCATAAAACTTTTTTTCTTCCCATGATGCGCGCAGTTTCTTTCAATGGTACATTTAGCCATCATGCAAACACTGGATACTGAAAACATTTTTGCAATTCAATTTATTACAGTCAGAGTTTTACAGATTGAGTAATATGAGGAAGAACTTCCTAACTGTGAAAGCTGTTTAACAGTGGAACTTTGCCCAGCCTCTTTCTTTGGAGGCTTTTAAGCAGAGGCTGGATGGCCATCTGTCAGGGGTACTTTGAATTGCAATTTTCCTGCTTCTTGGCAGGGGGTTGGACTGGATGGCCAATGAAGTCTCTTCCAACTCCATGATTCTATGTTTCCTCCATGAATCTGTAGGACCCCCAGAACAACTGTATGACCAACTTCCATCAGATTCTGACCACAGAGCTGTCCTGGAGGACCAAGAGATTTCAAGAAAATGTTCCCTCAAATGAAAAAAAGTGGTTTTTTTATTCATGATTTTTACACTTTTGTGGGATCCCGTGCCCCCTTACAAAAAAAAAATGTGCCTCCTTTATTACTGGGTTTGTACATAGTTTGTAGGCTGTGTTCCTTCACCAGCTTCCCTATGCGGACAATGGTTCCCTTTGAAGTATGGCAACACTCAAAAAACAGGGGAAATTCCAGACAAGAATCAATCAGGGCCTGTTAAGAACTTCAAACAAAGAATTCCCCCAGGCAGGAAGCAACCAAGCTTTGAAGTTGCAAGGCCATTCATTGCTAATCAAAGGTGGTCAATTGCAACATTCACACTTGCCTCAAACAGACAGAGTTCTTTCTCCCACCCTGGAAATAATTCCACAGATATATAAACCCCACTTGCCTAGTTTCCAACAGACCCCTCAACCTCTGAGGATGCCTGCCATATATGTGGGTGAAACACCAGGAGATAATGCTTCTGGAACATGGCCATACAGTCCGGAAAACTCACAGCAACCCAGTGATTCTGGCCATGAAAGCCTTTGACAACACATTTTCAGGAAATGTTAAAACAGGGACAGGGAACCTTTTTTTTTTTTTTTTTTTGCCCAATAAAGTCAGCACCAACAGTTGTTATTTTCACTGTTGCTGCCTATAGTAGTTCTCTTATCCTTCTCTATAAAAATAGTTCTTTGAGATGAACCAGGAAGGGACCCCTCCAGAAAGAGATGGTCCATTCTACTTTGTGTGTGCTCATATCAAGGCTTCCATCCTGGGATTTCCATTCCATCACTCCCAGTCAGTTGCCAGTTTGATTCTATCCAGCCCAAACTTTGTATCATTCAGTTATTACATATGCTTGTTTAACAGTTCTTGTTTTAGTTTTCTCTCAACCTGAAATCTACTGATCTCTCTCTCTCATGCATGTTTGACAGCAGTGGCTCCAACTCTTCAAACAGGGGGAAATCTGAATTGGTATTAATGTGTGATGATCATAAGATTCCAGTCTCCCGCCCCCCGAGGGAAACAGACTCCTCAGAAAGTAAAATGAACCAATGAAACAAGGAACAAAAGAGACCTTGTGGTGCTTTTGCCTTGAGACCCATAAGACAAGCAATATTGTTAAGAAAAGAATTCACAACCAGCTGCTTGAAATATTCAGAGGAAATTCAACTGAATAGTAAGTCACAATAACCAAGCATGACTTGCTTGGGATTTTGATTATTCTGGTTTAACAGAGCTGATGCTTGGGAAAAACTATTGCAATAGAAAAGGGACAGTCTTGAATAGTGATTGTGTAAAAAGGGAGATAGATGCCAAGGCGATGAAATGGCTCAGGTTCACTGAAGGGAGTCAGTCCACTGGGGCCAACAGATGGTCAACTCGCATGGGACAAATGAGTGGAAACTTGCTTTCAGGAGTATTGTGACCATGAGGATGGGACAAAAGCAGTTTCTGATGTTCTGTTCAGAGACTTTACTTAGGCGATCCCTCGTTGGACGAGTAAGATGGTCTTCCATTATGGTTTTCCTTGTGGGTCCGCATGTGGCTGTGGAGCCCTATTCCTGCTCTGCATCTTCTCCCACTGTGAGGGCATTGGTTTCCAGGTGGAAGGTGGTCCCGGTTGGGGTTGGCTTGATGCGCCTTCCTCCTGGCATGTTTCTCTCTTTCACTCTCCACTCGTGCCTCCTCGAATTCTGCAGCACTGCTGGTCACAGCTGACCTCTAGCTGGAGCACTCAAGGGCCAGGGCTTCCCAGTTCTCAGTGTCTATGCCAGAGTTTTTAAGGTTGGTTTTGAGGCCATCTTTAAGTCTCTTTTCCTGTCCATCAACATTCCGTTTTCCGTTCTTAAGTTCAGAGTAGAGCAACTGCTTTGGGATACGGTGGTCAGGCATCCGGACAACGCGGCGGGCCCAGCAGAGTTGATGTTGGAGGACCATCGCTTCAATGCTGGTGGTCTTTGCTTCTTCCAGCACACTGACGTTTGTCCGCTTGTCTTCCCAGGAGATTTGCAGGATTTTCCGGAGGCAGCACTGATGGAATCGTTCTAGGAGTTGCATGTGACGTCTGTAGACCACGTCTCACAGGTATATAGCAGGGTTGGGAGGACAATAGCTTTATAGACAAGCACCTTGGTATCACTACGGATGTCCCGGTCCTCAAACACTCTCTGCTTCATTCGGGAAAATACTGCACTTGCAGAGCTCAGACGGTGTTGTATTTCGGCGTCGATGTTGACTTTGGTGGAGAGGTGGCTGCCAAGGGAGCGGAAATGGTCAACATTTTCTAATGCTACACTATTAAGCTGTATCTCTGGCATTGGAGAGGGATTGGCTGGTGACTGCTGGAACAGCACTTTGGTTTTCTCGATGTTCAGTGACAGGCCAAGCTTCGTGTATGCTTCTGCAAAGGTGTTTAGAGTGGCTTGTAGATCTTCTTCCGTATGCGCACAGACAGCATTGTCATCAGCATACTGGAGTTCTATAACAGAGGCTGTTATAGAGAATAGGGGCAGCTAAAGGAGGAAGAGTGCAGAAAAGGGGCTTAAAAGCAAGAAGGAGACCTGGTGTTCAAGGAAGGAAGAGAACAACAAATGCTGAGAACAGAGCTTCCTGCAATGCACCAAAAGAGTTACAAAATTAAAAAGGAGTTAATTGAGATTTCAAAGGATATTGAAGTTTGCATCAGTATGAAAGAACTTAGAGTGCCAGCAAGCCACGCTCTACCACTTAAGAGAACTCATCAATTATTTCACTAAGGCGAGTGGATACTAGAAGCTTGGGCTCCTGCCAGAAACAGATCCTTGAACAGGACACATTTTGCCATGTGGCGGCTCTAGCGAACAAGTGGCTCAGCCCCAGCTAGGCTTTCCAATGTATTTGGAATGAAAATGTGGGGCCTGAAGCTAAAAAGATACAAGACTCTGGAGAGCGTCTGTGTGTGTTTTAAAATCATTCCTGGATCTGCTTTTAACAGCATTAAATATGTAACAAGAAACAGCTCTGCCCACTTACTGAAAGTAGGATTCATGGGAAAGAGATCTCCATTTACACAAAGAAAATACAAGACGTACAAACTATACTTGTATTTGTTTTCTCTGTGTGTACCAAGGCCTGTGCCACACCTACACAAGCTCAAAGGTTCCCACAGCCCTTCCTCAAAGGGGAGGTCTCACCTGGCGGAGGGGGCAGGTCCTCGGTGTTCACATTAAGCAGCTTTGGCCAGACTCTGCGGCGAATCTCATCCACCAAGAGACCCCCTTCGCTGATCGCCATGCGCCGGAGGGCAGCCACGTCCACAGGGTCACTGCTCAGCGCCTGGAAGATCTCGGCCTCTTTCCTTTTTTTCTTTGGATCACAGTCTGGGGAGAGAAATAAAAAGCCATGTAGAGTAGCACCTGAGAAGCATTTTCCCTCAACAAGTGTAATGGTCTCCGTTCAGAGGCATGGACAACACCAAAACAGGACTTGAACAGAGAGCTTCTCTAGTGGAGAAGAACATTTTTTTTTCTAATGTGCCATGGAATCATATAATCAAAGAGCTGGAAGAGACCTTGTGGGTCATCCAGTCCAACCCCGTCCTGCCAGGAAGCAGGAAAATTGCATTCAAAGCACTCCTGAGAGATGGCCATCCAGACTCTGCTTCAAAGCCTCCAAAGAAGGAGTCTCCACCACACCCTGGGGCAGAGAGAGATTCACTGCTGGACAGCTCTCACCATTAGGAAGTTCTTCCTAATGTTCAGATGGAATCTCCTTTCCTGTAGTTTGAAGCCACTGTACTGCATCCCAGTCTGCAGGGCAGCACAAAACAAGCTTGCTCCCTCCTCCCTATGACTTCCCCTTACATATTTATACATAGTCATCATGGCTCCTCGTAGCCTTCTCTTCTGCAGGCTAAACATGCTCTGCTCTTTAAGCCGCTCCTCTTAGGGCTTGTTCTCCAGACTCTTGATCATTCTAATTGATGAGTTGGACATATTCCAGCTCATCAACATCTCCTTTAAACTGTATTGCCCATAATTGGACACAGTGTGATTCCAGGTGTGATCTGACCAAGGCAGAATAGAGAAGTAGCATGACTTTCCTACATGTAAGCATTAGACTCCTATTGATGCAGGCCAAAATCATTGGCTTTTTTAGCTGCTGCATGACCTTGTTGGCTCATGTTTACCTTCTTGTCCATGAGGACGCCAAGATCTTTCCCCACACCCTGCTGTCGAGCCAGGCATCGTCCCCCATTTTGTATCTTTGCATTTCATTTTTTTCTGCCTAAGTGGAGTATCTTGCATTTTTCTCTGTTGAACTTCATTTTGTTCGTTTTTGGCCCATCTCTCTAATCTGTTAAGATTGTTTTGAATTCTGCTCTTCACACTGCTTTCAAGAGGACAATAATGGATCTGTTCTAGAAGAAACCATATTTGTTGTGGCTAACTGCCATCAGATTGACTTCATCATATGGTGACACCATGAATAGGAGACTCCCAAATCATCATGTCATCAACTACTCTGCTCAGGGCTCTCTTAGTTGAGTCTCTCCATCTGGAAAGTGGTCTTCTTTTTTTCTGTGTTGCTTTTCTATTTTACTAAGAATTACTGTCTTTTTGAGGGAGTCACCTCTTGTTAGGCTATGACCAAAGTACAAGAGCCCCAATTTAGCCATCTTGGTTTTTAGGAATCACTCAGGTATGATTTGTTCCAGGATCCATTTATTTGCCTTTTTAGCTGTCCACACTATCTGCAGAACTCTCCTCCAGGATCACATTTCAAATGTGTTGATTTCCTTCCTTTCTGCTTTCTTCACTGTTCAGCTTTCACAACCATATGTGAAAGCAAGTATTTCACCATAAAAACAAACACATAACCCTTAACACCATGCATGTTTGTGACACTGTTGTGAGCTAATAACTTTATGAATTCATCTGCAGTGCTGACTTACACCTCTCTCTATTATTAGAATGACCTTCCTGGTTTAAAAACCACTTTACGACAAAAGACCAGCCACTAATGTCTTCCTTTCAGTTTTGCATTATCCACAGGCTGACTGTTTAGATCTATATTTAAAGCCGTCTCTCAGCTGTTTTCTGGGAAAATGAAAGATCTGTCAGTCAGGTTCATAGCCTAGTTTCCCAACAGCTGCTATTCCTGCGTAGCTGATAATTCCCTTCTGGCAACACGCATCTTAATAAGGTCACATCAGAAAATATTACATCACAGAAAGCGTCTTGCATCTTCATACGGGCATAACCTGATCCAAGTACACACCATGTACTTGTAGTGTCACTCAAACATGATGAATTGCCTTCACTCTGGTTGAAGGAGCTGGGAGTTATAGTCCAACAAATCTGGGTGGCCTAGGCAACGTTTGTTGTTTCAACTCTTAAAGATTAGCCTCCTTGTTCTTTCAGAACAATGCAAAACACCACATTAATAAATCAAATCTTTTAAAGAGCAAATAACTATCACATTGGATAGTAAATAAATCCAAAAAGCCAAATACATTGTGCACAATGTAAACAAACTCCAACCAGCTTATATCCTTTGCTTTTACATTGCGACTGTTGCTACAAATAGGATCAAAGCCAGGAAAAAGCTGGTGATAATCAGCTGCTTTATGTTTTCCTGAACGATGGACTAAATTATATACGGAAACTAAGAAGATTCTCCAACGCTGGGGCAAAACCTCACTACCTCTGAGGATGCTTGCCATAGATGCAGGCGAAACGTCAGGAGAGAATGCCTCTAGACCAGTGGTTCTCAACCTTCCTAATGCCGTGACCCCGGAATACAGTCCCTCATACTGAGGTGATCCCCAACCATAATATTGTTTTCGTTGCTACATCATAACAGTCATTTTACTACTGTTATAAATCATAATGTAAATACCTGATATGCAGGATGCATTTTCATTCACTGGACCAAACAGGGCACAAATACCCAATACACCCAAATGTGAATGCTAGTGGGGTTGGGGGAGGATTGATTTTGTAATTTGGGAGTTGTAGTTGCTGGGATTTATAGTTCACTTATAATCAAAGAGCATTCTGAACTCCACCAGTGATGGATTTGAACTAAACTTAGCTCCCATGACCAATGGAAAACACTGGAAGGGTTTGATGGGCATTGACCTTGAGTTTTGGAATTGTAGTTCACCTATAGCCAGGGAGAACTGTGGACTCATGCAATGGTAGATCTGGACCAAACTTGGCACAAATACTCAATATGTTCAAATGCGAACACTGGTGGAGTCTGGGGAAAATAGATCTTGACATTTGGGAGCTGTAGTTGCTGGGATTTATAGTTCATTACAATCAAATAACATTCTGAACTCCACCAACGATAGAATTGGCTCAAACTTCCCACATGGAATCCCCATGACTATCAGAAAATACTGTGTTTTCTTATGGTCTTTGGTGACCCCTCTGACACCCCCTCATGACCCCCTCAGGGGTCCCGACCCCCAGGTTGAGAAACACTGCTCTAGACCATGGCCATACAGCTCGAAAAAACCTACAACAACCCAGTGATTCCGGCCATGAAAGCCATCGACAATACAAAAGAGAAATGGCTGGAGGGGAAAAAACATCTCATTCTGAAAGCCAAGGACAAGGAGAAATGGGCACTTTGTTCGCGTGTTGCTGCTTCTTTCATAAGAGCTGGCCAGTCCCACTGGGATCCCACTGCTGAGCCTTAGATTTTGGATTTCAGCAATCTGACTTTCATGTGTTTACTTGGGAAGCCGGACTTGGCCACGGTGGTACATGCTTTGGTCACATCCCGCCTCGACTACTGCAACGCTCTCTACGTGGGGCTGCCCTTGAAGACGGCCCGGAAGCTTCAGCTAGTCCAACGTGCGGCAGCCATGTTATTAACGGAGCAGGACGCAGGGAGCATACAACGCCCTTGTTGTCCCAGCTCCACTGGCTGCCGATCTGCTACCGGGCCCAATTTAAGGTGCTGGTGTTATCCTACAAAGCCCTAAACAGTTCCGGCCCAAAATACCTTGCAGACCGCATCTCGGCCTATGAGCCCACGAGGACCTTGAGATCATCTGGGGAGGCCCTTCTCTCGGTCCCGCCTGCCTCACAGGCACGTCTGGTGGGGACGAGAGAGCGGGCCTTCTCGGTGGTGGCCCCCCGGTTGTGGAACACCCTCCCTACTGGAAGTTAGACAGGCGCCCTCTTTGATGGCCTTTCGTAGGAGCCTGAAAACTTGGCTCTGCGAGCAGGCCTTCAACTAAGTGTATCTGTGGAACGACGTTAGAATGGACTACGACTACGAACCTGGCTATGACCCTAGGATTAGACGAAGCGGATTTTTAGTATAAGTATATGTCGTAGTAGTAGTTTGTTATGTATTGTTATGATTTTTGTATGCTGTCTTTCTATGTTGCTGTTCACCGCCACGAGTCGCCCCTAGGGCTGAGAGTGGCGGTCAATAAGTACAAGAAATAATACTTGGCATGGCTCTTTCTCATGCTGGTTGGAATTTTTTAATCTACCAACTGCCAAGGCGAGCAAGGGAAAAGGCCCATTTCCCCCAAATTATCTGAACCCCTGCAGTTTCCTAAAGCGCGCTGTGCTCCTTAGCATCTCCAACTGCGTGCGTTAAGGGTGTTTGGGAATGGGATTTCTCATGCATTTCCCTTCCACAGACAACCGCAGAGAAGCAAGTGAGAATTAGCTCTACTCGACACCAAAGCATCCCCCCAAATAAGTAGGTCAAGCAAATTGGAGGAATGTTAGACCTGAATTCTAAAAATAAAGGCTCTGAAGTGATGTTGGCACATCTACCTAGGCTGGTTACTCTGACAACTAATATGTCACTGGAATTTGGAGGTTGCCTAGAGCAAGACATCCCTCTCCAAGCATCTCTCTTTCTCTTTCTCTCTATCACACAAACACACAGAGAGTCCCTCCTCCCATACTGCATTGCCACATAGGAAAAACACAGCATTTTGTCAAGGTAGGGTGATTTCCAAACCCCGTCCCTACTATTCTGGATTTCCTGTTATATAGCGGCATATGGGCTATCAGCAGGCATAGGGGGGTGACAGGAAAAGCACACATTCTTAACAGAGCAGCAAAGGAATGGAAGAGAATGAAAATTAAATTGAAAGATTTTATTTATTTATTTATTTCATACTAGCTGTACCCGCCACACATTGATGTGGCCACCCTTCCCTCTTTCTCTCCTTCTTTCCCTCCTTCCTTCACTCCCTCTTTCCTTCCCATTTTTCCTTCTCTTCTTCCTTCCTTCTCTCTCTTTCCTTCCTTTCCCCTTTTTCTTTCTCTTCTACTCTCTCTTTTCTTCCTTCTTTCCTTCCCTCCCTCTTTCTCTACATCTTCCCCCTTCCTTCACTCCC